GAAGCCAATGGTGGTTTTATTGAATAAATTTACTGTTTAGTATTTCAAGGAATTTTTGTGTAATTTTGATAAATATATCTGTTAATATGAGATGTCAGTGTTATTTTCATTTTTGCATAATTTAGACAACAATATATGTATCGCACCCTATATAATACCTATACATACTCTGTCAATAAAAGTAGTGTGGAAACCTTCTATACTTCCAATTAAAATACACTGAATCAACAAGTTACCTTACTAAAACATTGATCCAATAATGATTCCTGCCTATCAGTGTTTGTAACAGTATATCTACTCAAAAATCTTTATAGAAAATATTCAAGACTTGCTCTTATAATAAAAGAAATAAAAAAATTTTGTTACAATAGCTCAACTTGTTTACAAGGTGGGCTATATTAGCCACAACCTATTTAATATAGGTTTTTTTGGCTAGTATAGCCCACATGACACTATTTGTTTTTCCAGCACAAGGGCATTGCAAAAGGCAACAAGCAGAAATAAATAGCAAAGTAAAAGAGAGGAAGCAATGTCTTCCATGAAGTTGGTGAGAATTTAAGTTAATGCCTGCATGTACAGTTAACAATAAATTTGAAGTATAATGATTTTGCACAAATGTTACTTTTTTTTTTTTTCACCATCATCTCTTTCATTGTCAATGCACTTTAGTGATGATTATTAATCTCAATTGAATATTATACAGTAGATCATATTTAAGCTGAGAAGCACATGTCAAGCTATGAACTTAATGATCCAATCTTGCATAAATTCATTAATATAAATCATTAAAGCCGTAAATAATTTCTGACTTTTCATCAAAATATACATATTATTTTCTGTTTGGTCGATATATGGTACATTTTGGAATTTCTTTAATCTAAGAAATATCTGACCATACTTCATATTTAATATAATTTCAATAAATCAAATATTATGAAATGGACTAAGTTTGACAATTATTTTAATATATTTTATTGTTATACGTTATTTATATAGACACAAATATCTAAGTAAATGTTTATAATAAACAATATTAACAACATTTACCAGCCTGAGGACACACATTTTCTATGAAATTGCTGACATTCAGGCTGGTAAATGTTGTTAATACTGTTTATTATAAACAGATCATTTACTTAAAGATTTGTGTCTATATAAATGACGTATAACAATAAAATATATTAAAATAAATCAAATAACAATGTTTAGAGGAAAAATAGAGCCACTATGTAAAGAATACTGATTAATTAGTTTTACAAGTTTTCAGTGTAATTGTTAATAAATTATCTGTTGTTAATAACAGTACCCCAACTGCAGAGCAATTCATTCCTGTTCTATTAAAATAATTATAGCACTTTTTCATAATCATCTTATCTATCAAATTCACATCAGAATCTCTTGATATAACTATTTAGAAGATACACAAATCATAAATTCAAATTCAGCTACCAGTCCTTAATCAACGTTGGAAAGTCATTTGTGCAGACATTCAGAAAATAAATTGGTCAATTAATGATAGAAATATTTTCAACTTGGTTTTTAAAAGGTGCTTAAAAATCAAAACAGCTAAATTTCCAAAACCAGACCAGAGATTTCCCCTGTTTATTTTCTTTGAGGAGGTTTGCAAAACATTATGCATAAAATCAAGTTCTGTAGAACACAATGATGCTGATTACACATGAAATTAAGCCCTGAACATTAAACAATAATATTCAACAGCAAGTAAGATTTTTATAATTTTTTTCTTTTGCATTAAATGAATTTTACTCGTCAATAATTTACTACATGTAGGCCTCAGAGATTAGACACTAGTTCACATCATTCTTAATGAGTATCTATTTCAAACTTTCTTGAATAGTAATAAGGTATTTTATTTCAAGACATTTTTTACTGAAATAATATGATGAAAGTGAAATTGAGATACAGATATAAATTAAAGTTAATAGCAAAAGTAAAATATATTTTTTAGTCTCTTATGCAAATTAGTATGAGTGAACATTGAAGTCAACACTGAATGTTGACAGTTTGTTTCATGCATGAACACAATGAAGATTGTGCTCAAACATGAAACAGGCTGTCGCCACTCAATGTTGACTGCAGCATCTGCTCTTATATTTACACATGCTCTATCCTGGATATTGAGCATACCTTAAAACTTATAAGTTGTTATAAAATATTTTGTAAAGATACCCATTTTTATCCATCATGCTAAATGTCTAAAATTTTTACCATAAACTTCAATTCTGACCGGCAGTTTTATTTGGTTAAAAAATGGCAAAGAAATTATACTGAACTTTTATAAAAGATATTTTCACAATGTAGCAACAGTAAGAAAGTCTTTCTTAAAGTTGATAAAATACCTGCATTTATTTATGGCATCAACATAAAATTTAGTTATTCATTTTCAGCTTTGCCTAGAAGCTTGAAAACTGTAAAAATATCTTAAAAGAATGCTAAGATGGTAGACACATTTAGGAGGGAGCAATATATATATATATATATATATATATATATATATATATATATATTCCTTTCTTAATGATAAAATTTAAGCATTTATAAATGAAAGTAATAACACTGATATAGTCTTTAGGAAAGACACACAAAGCATTGCAGTTCCTGGATGAGTAATCTAAAAAGTACACCAAAGATGAACTAAGTTTTGATCAAGTAAAACTAATATATGCCCATTAATTACAAAATTCACTTGATAAAATAAGGGAGAACTTTTAAAATGAAAAATGTCAATTCAAAAAGAAGAGGGGGAAAAAAATAAATAAGTATTCTTATTTCTCAAATATATTTTTATATTTCAATTGAAAATTTAATAAATAGCAATAAATATTGTGATTAGATGCATTACTTACAGCTAATTTTGTATGATATATAAACCAAAACATTTCCCACCCTGTTAATTTTTTGTAGTTGATATTAATTGTGTAACTTGTTCTAAAATAGCTCATCTCACCAGGGATATTCATCAAAAAAAAATTATTGTTCAAGTATGGAAGACTAAGGTGTAAGAGCAAAAATTTGGGCAGACTGATGGCAAAGAATAGAAAAAAAATGACGTCCTTTGAGAAGAGACATTTATGACAAAGGAAATGCTAAGAATCTTGATGAATATAGAAGTTAAAAATACAAAATTAAAACCTATCTGTAGAAAAAGGGCTTCAAGATTATAAGAAAATAACATTAAGCAAAAGTAGATTTACTACAGCATTTTTTAAATATACATCTTGGGTAGTACAATGCCTGAAACTTATAGAAGTAGACAGAGAATAAGTGAGGCATAAGTTGATAGTCATTCTGAAAACAAATTTTTGTTTTTTACGATATTTCTTTCTTTTGAATCATTCAAAACTGTTGATACAATGTAAAAATGTACAATATATTTATTATGTAGTTTCAAAACAAAAAAAAAATGTTAAAAGATTTTGTAGCAGAGCTAACATTTCACATGCAAGAGCTTACCCCCTACAAAATGATGACATACTTCCAACAAGTTAGGCATATATAATATATATCATAATACACAGATAGGAAATACACCATATATTGTATGTGTGAGGAGTGTGTGTATTTTCACTTCATTTTTGCCATACAAATTAAACCTATGTATGACCATCTACACATACAGACATACATACATAAATGGATGAGAATTTTGTTTATAGCTTTTTCATAATTTTGCCCTTGTAATTAAAGGACAAAAGGTTTTAGTTTTTTTACTTAAATCATTGATTTGGTTACTGGCATTTTATGCATCAGGTTTTGAGTCCCAGTTTTAACATAAGAGTAATTCATTCCACACACATACAACACAGATATAGATTCAAGTGCATATTCATGTATTTGTGTGTATATATGATATACATATTGAGAATGTCAGAGTAAATTTATTTATTTTTTTTTTTTTTTTTGAGATTTTTTATTACACATATATATATATATATATATATATATATATATATATATATATATATGTAGATAGATAGATAAAAGTATTGACTTTTTTTTTTTTTAGTCATCATATACAAAAAGACAACTTGGAAGTGGTTTAAATGCACATTTAGAGACAGGAGATCAGCCCAATTAGGAAAGTGTCAAGGTTAGTGTGCGTGTGTGTTTTTGTGTGTCTCAATTGGAATCAGGCCGAAATAGGATGTTGCATAATGGCCAATGTTTCAAAAGGCAAATCTCTCCTTTGGCTGGTGTCTTGCATTTTTTAAAAAATATTCAGTGGGGAAATCATATACACAGACAGACATTTAAAAAAATTTGCTGCAGCTATATAAAGATTGGCTTGTTTATAGAGAAAATACATCCAGCAATTAAAAAAAAAAAAAGTAAGTAAATAAATATTTTCTTCTTTTTCTGCTTAAAAAAATTATTTTTTTTTTTTTTTTTTTTTTACTTTAGCAATTTGAATTATTAAGCTACCTGTGTATTTGTGAATTTTGCTGGGGTTGGTCAGTCAATGTGTATGCAAGCGTGTTTCCACTGAATAAGAAAATAGCAGAAATATTTTAAATAGAGTTTTCATTTTGGGGGATTTATTTCTTTAAAAAAATTGTTCCTGCTTTAAAATGTTTTTCCTTTTCTTTTCATGTTCAAGAAAGAGTCTAGAGTTGGAAGTGTCAAAGAACAAAAAGTATTTGTTACAATTATTTTCCTTTGCATAAGGAATTTTAAGGACTTTTGCATATCAATGCAATTGTATGTTATTGTGCCTTTAGTAATAAATTTTATTTTTTTTACTTCTTTTAAGTCTAAGACAACAGTCAGGTATCATTTTACAAACTGAGTCCAGTGACCAAAGATATCATATTTCCAAGGAGTTCAAATTCAGTTGTCATCACTATGAGGAGGCTGATATTTTCGAAGCCAACACAGAAGAAATTTGGGGAAGAAGCACATTGAATGATTAGTGACAGCTACCCTCCGGTCAGATGCACTTCTCTGAATGACAACTAACAAACATAGAAGCCTTGGTAAAATCAGGGTCGTGCATTTGGTGGGAGCGTTGCTGCCTTGCCTCCTGATGAGTGACGAGCCTGAGGACCATATGAAGAATACTGTTTTAAACCACGGGCAGGTAATCCACTAGAACTGGAAAAAAAAAAAAAAGAAAAGAAATTAGATTAATCATGAAAAATAATCTCTTGGAGAAAAGAACAAATTCAAAGTTTATAAAGTTGTCTGTGAGCAAGAGAATTTTACAAGAAGAGATGATAATAGCAACATTAGCTGTTCCCTTATAAGGAAATATTTGACATTCATTGACTGAGCAACAAGTGCTACTTTTGGTTGGAATTTATTAAATTTTTCTATTAAAATAATTTTTTTTCAGAAAATACATTTAAGTTCAGTAACTGTTATTGCTCTTTTCAGTATTGATGGGAAATTTACTTCCTAATCTTTTGAAGTAGTTTGGAATGTCAACATCTTGATTATGCCATTATTTTCTCTTCAAATTACATGTGATATTCATTTTATTTATTGCTGCTGTTGAAAGTCCTCAAGTGACGTAGTTTCTGTTGCTTCTTTTTTTTGTTAACACTTTAGTTCAACCAATACAAAGTAAAGGGTTACTGAGTGAGATTGTTGTAAGCAGGGGGCATAAGAAGTGCATATTAAGAGAATATGTAGGATAGATATTGTACAATCCTGAACTAGAAGAAGCTAAGATTGTAGTGGTTAGGGAAGCATCCTCTCTGGAGTATGTTTCACAAAGTAACAACCATGAAGAAGAAGCTGTCTGCATGGAACTTACTCCTTACCAAAGGAACACAAAGGGAACGTGCTTTGCCACTGTGAACATGGTATGATGCATGCTAGCTGTGAAGATCTGATCTGGTGGGACTAAGGAATGTAACTTACTTAGTCTGAACATTTGCAATAGCAATAGATTAGTGGGAGGCTAGCAAAGTTTCATAAGGAGAGTTCTTTGTGATTCTGTAAAATGACTTACATAAAAACAGATTATAATAGACTGAATATCAAAACATGAAACATTTTTCTTACATTATTTTCTTATCTTGGTTGATATAGATGTTATTATAGACAACATTTCAATCAAATACCCTCTGGTCATTATCAGGTGTCCATTGATTGGTGCATCACTACCCAATCCAAGGATTGAACTCACGACCACTAGATAACAGTCACACATGTATAACTAACTCTAATATCCATGACATTACCATTTCGGAGGACATTAGTGATGTGTTTTTGGAGCCTTTTATTTTCAATATCAGATGGTTCTCAACATTTGGTTATGATGGCTGATTCGTACTACTTTTCATAATTTGGTATTTCATTTCTGAAATGAGTAATTGTCAATATTCTTGTATTATTTCGAATTACTGTTCTCATCTTGGTTGATATAAATGTTATTATAGACACAGCATTTCAACCAAGTACCCTCCGGTCATCATCGGATGTCCATTAATAATATGAGAATATTACATTCCTTACATTACTACATTCCTTAGTGTCACCAGTTCTAACCTTCATTGCTAAAACCTGCTTCATTCACTTCATATTCCCCTGGTGAGATGTAAATTCCACTCACACAGCTTGTTCTTATGAACCGCTGTTTTATTGAACCAACTCTGAAGAGGATGCTTCCCCGATTGCTACAATCATAACCTGTCCAAGTCTAGGGTTAACTGTTATCTTCACCACATATCCTCATAAAATGTGCCTCTTACTCTGTAACCCTCTATCTTGAGTGATTCGTGGGTCTTTTACAGGGTGAACATCATTGTAAAAAAAACAAATAAAATAAAAATTAAAAAAAAATAATTGACTTTTCTCCATGAGTCAAGTGATATGACATTTTTAGATATTAATAATATTCTTTGAGCTCCAGATGTCAAATTATTTTATGTACATCAAAACAAGAACTGTGAAAATATCAAGAATTTAAAAAACATTAAGTGACTGTCCCTGACAAGATTAGGCCTTTACATAGATTGACATTTATTATGTGGAAAAGATGAAAGCAGAGGAAAAAAAAAAATCTAAATAAAATAGATGATTGGCACTTGTACCTGATATTAGAACTTATTCCTTTCTTAGGAATCTTTTTACCCAGGTGCTGAACCCAGAGTTTCTGCATTTCTGAAGATTCTGCCAGAAGCAACAATTCTTTGGCTTGGATATCAAAGTTAACTGGAAAAAAAAAAAAAAAAAAAAAATGAAATATAAAAACTGGAAATTCGTAAACAACATAAAATGCTAATGGACATTTGATTTTTTTTTGTTTCAGGTTTCTGTAAAAAAAAAAAAAAAAAATTAGAACAGGTTGTGCTTATGCAAAATGACTTTGGAAAGTGCACAGATAGAACTTTAGAGAGTATTAAAATTAAATGATTATTATCATTATAAGGATTGAGAAAATTTGCAATAATAATCACCAAAAAGTCATATTTAGGTGAATGACATCAGTATCAGAATATATATATATATATATATATATATATCAAATGACAATTGGAAAAAAACCATACATTTTGCCGACGCATTTCATCTTCCGACTTTTTCAAGGCAAAAATGAAATCAAAATGTTTTTGTTGTTATAGTTACATTAAAATTCAAAATTAAAAAGATAGACGCTTGTGTCTAAGCCTTTTTTCTGGTTAATGTAAATTACCTTTATAGTAAGGGATTATTATTATTATTTTTTTTTTTTCCATGTCGACAATATAGTTAAATTCCCAGATGAATTCTGTGGACAAAACAGATTGGTATCAAATGACAATTTCGATTTCATTTTTGCCTTGAAAAAAGTCGGAAGACGAAAAACGCGTCGGCAAAATGTATGATTTTTTTTCCAATTGTCATTTGATACCAATCTGTCTTGTCCACAGAATTCATCTGGGAATATATATATATATATATATATATATATATATATATATATATATATATATATATATCTCATCCATTATATATAAATCAACACACACATAAAAGACTAAATGAGTTGCTTATGTATATAGGGTAGCCCGAAAGTCTTGTCACCCCTACATAATATAATTTACTATTTCAGATAGCTGACACGTCCCTATGGAAAGGGCATAGGGGTGACAAGACTTTCGGACCGCTCCCACCACACACACATATATAGGAAAAGATATTTACATTTTTATATACCTAGAAAAATTTTAGGGAAAAAAGAAAGTTTTTGTGTGGCGTGTTTCGTCCTTTAGACTAAAGTAATGTTTATGTAACTATAGATGCACATGAAGGAGGATGATGCTGAGAATTTTTAATTCGAAATATTTTTTTCTATTTTTTTTTTTTAATATCAAGTTTTGGGTATACAGATAAACTAATTTCATTTAATTTCTTTTTCTGTTCATGTTTCCATTACTTGTTATTAAATATCCCCCATTGTGATAATATGAGATCTGCCAAAAAAAAGTGAAATGTAAGAACCTGGAGGTAAATTTACCTTGGAGGATCTAGTGATTAAAGCACATTCTATAGTAAATTGCTTTCTCTTTTAATTAGAGTATTTTTTTTTTTTTTTTTTTTTTAAATCAAAATTATGGTCACTCATTACAGTGAGCAACTAATGCATTTAGTGTGTTGTTTTGTAAAAGATCCCTTTTATGTTTATATATTATTTAAATACCTTGAGGTTTCTCATATATTCCTCGTGACAATTATTACAGGTGGTAGAATTCCTCCTTGAAGTTTTAACTCATTTTGTTTTGTGTATGTATGTATGCATAATTTAAAAACTTAATATTTTATTTTGTATTAAATTATATATAATTATTTTTCAAACATATTTGGTTAAATAATATCAACAAGTTATGTCTATCAAATATCAAAGCTTAATATTCTATTTTGTATTAATATATATATATATATATATATATATATATATATATATATATATATATACACACACACACATACAAGAGTGAGGTGAGAATGTAAACTACGGTTGTGGTGTTTGTATATAAATGTACAGGAACTATTTTTCTTTCTATTTGACAAAAATTTTTTTTTTATATAAATTCATAGTGTTATTACTCAGTCACCCATGTCTTATTTGGCTTTCTCTGTCCTTACATCTTCTTTCAGGTCATTTATGTATTCCATCATGAAATAAAGATTCAGGTTTTGATTTGACAAATTATTTAAAGAATCTTTTTTTTTTTTTTTTATACAGAACTAGCAGTACAGCCCGGCGTTGCCCGGGGATGTAACAGTAAGAGATAGATCAAGTATCGACCATCATAAAGACTGAAAAATAAAATTGACAAAGATTATTGTTTAAGGTTGACGGACACATGTCTTAATTAGTTTTTTTTTTTTACGAATTGGTCAAACCCAAATTCAAACAAAAACATTGTTTACAATCGTTATGAGTCTATCGATTGGTAAAAAAATTTTATTATAAACAATTGTTTTGTAAATGGAATTTTTAAAGCATTCTGAATGTAAAATAAAAGAAAAAAATGTGCAAGACAATAAGAAACACTACCCGCCAAAAAAAAAGTGAAGTTTTGTTGAAATCGGTTGAAAAAATGTAGGTAGCCTTTCTCTGTAATCTTTTACAATTTATGATTTTACTTATTGAATACAGTAAAAAAAAATTGCATATTTTGCTTGTGGTGATTCATAATTAGAATTCTGATTTGAATATATTTTCCACTCGTTGTTTCTAATACAAAAAAATATTAACTTTATTTGGGTTTATTAATTTATTACAAGTACTGTGTTCTTTCCTTAATAATTATCATCTTGAAATATTGTTGTTTTTTGTCTATCAGATTTCTTAAATCGGCATTTTAAATTATTTCTTAATACTTTCTTTTAAATATTGAATTAATTTCAAATAGAACCAATGCCTTACTGATCTCCCTTGTAATGAATTGCAAAGGGAATTGTAAAAACAGCCCTAAAATGCGTGGAATTATCTTTCCCTAAAGATAAAGAATTATCAATTTTTCGATTCGTACAATCAGTAGAGATCGTTAGATTATTTTTAGGTTGTGGGACATGCATGTCTTAGTTTTTTTTTTTTTTTTTACGAATTGGTCAAACCCAAACTCAAACAAAAACATTGTTTTCAATCGTTATGATGAGTCCCCTGATTGAATAAATTAGAATTTTATTATAAACAATTGTCTTGTAAATGGAATTTTAAAGCATTCTGAATGTATAAATAAAGAAAAAAAAAAAAAGTGTGCAAGACAATAAGAAATACTACCTGCCAAAAAAAAAAAAAAAATGGATGTTTGTTTTATCGGCTGAAAAAATGTAAGAAATCCGATCCCATATATAAGGAACACACACACACACACACAACCCTGGGTTTTTTTAACCTAAGTCACTCCACGGAATTGCTAAAACATAGAGCATAGTCTGATGAAAAAAGGCATAAAGTTTATGAAAACAAAATTTTATCGTCAAAATGCTTGTTTTTTATGAAGAGGATAGACTAAATTTTTTTTTAATTATTTTTAAAATTTTTCCATCTTTTAGAAAATTCTAAATTTTGATTTAAAAACCTTGTTTCTCTTTAGGCGCAACAAGGGGTAGTAAATAACATAGATAATTTTTAGCGATGTTTTTGTATTTACACACATTAATTTGGAAAATCTTGCAAAAATAAAAATAATTGTCAGATGTTAATGAAACTTTCAGAAACTATTCAAAGATGATCAAATTATTATAAATATGTTTTTTTTTTTTTAAAAGTCATGGCAGAAATTTTTTTTTATATTTATTAACACCCCATAACTAATTTTATGAAAAACTCTAGAAATTCGAGACCATCGGTTTTAGTGATTACAATAGTTAAAAGCACAAGGCTTTGAAGAATGCAAATGTTGTTTTTTTTTTTTTTTTTTTTGGTCAATGTATCTGAAAATCAGCTGTGAATTGTAACATACAAAACAAAATAAAACAAATATATTATTTAGTTTCAAATGCTTTTATTTTGTTTTAATTTGTTTTTATGAATATGGACAATATTTTCTGAAAGCAAAAAATTTTTCAATGAAAATTGAATTTTTAATACAATTATTTCTTATTTCTTTAATTTTAAAAAAATTTTTAAATTGAATTTTTAAAAATATTTTAACATTAGTTAAAAGCAACATGAACCTTTCAAAATGTCCATGTGAGATTGTCATTGTCTAGTGCTTTGAAAATTGTATAATTTGGACCAATCAGATTAGCCATGGTAATTAAGAAATGTAATTTTTGTGTTTATAGTCGAACAGTAATTATCAAGTACGGAAGACCAACCAGAATACAATTTAGTTGCATTATTTGAATTCAGCATTGTTCTCCGCTGTTAAGCCCTTTACTTTTCTTGAAACACGTATGGAGAAGTTAATTTGAGTTTTCAATTTCAACTGAGAAGGGTACCTACAAGTAACAGTATCATCTTATGAAATTTAACTACTGCTAAACTTTAATTTATATGATCTTATTTTTATATTAATCTCAGTTATGACATTTTCCATAAATGAAATATCAAACAAAATTAATAATAAAATGAATGGAAATACAAATAAAACAGTAAAATGTAATAAATGTACATAAAATTATAGTATTTTATGTACACTTCTGATAAAATTTCATAAGAAAGGTACCTAAATTAATTAGATACCTTTTTTTCTTATGAAATTTAATCTCACTATTAACAGTCTTATTTTTTGAATTTCTTTATATTTTCCATAAAGCATAAATAACGTAAAAATGAAAGCTAAGTACAAAAAAAAAAAAAAATAAAAAATTAGAGCGCTGAAAGTTTTCCTTAAAAATAACGAGGTAAATAATTTGTTCACTTAAATAATTTCACTTCCTTCCATCCGTAGAAAAATTATCCTCCGTAAATTATCTAAACGTCATGAATGTGCCTTTTCGTCAAGTGACGCGAAAGGTTATGACCTGCTTTGTTTTATTTTCAAATTACATTTTTTTTTTCGCAAAGCTAAGTTAAGCTTGGTTCAAGATATTTTAAATAAACAGTATAATTTCTGTTTTTTTATTAAAATCAGTTTTGAAAAAAATGATAATTGATTTTAAAAAGAATATCAAAGTCAGATTTTAATCGAAAAAATGATTGAAAATGATTGCTTATCCTTTTTTTGACCAAAAAAAAAACAATATATTTAACGAAAATTTCAGACATGCTAGGAATGATTAAAAAATGTAAAAAAAATACTTTGATCTTGCCTCTTTAATAATAATATGAACATTAGACGATAAAATTTTGTTTTTGTCAAGTACGGCTTTTTTCATCATGCTATGCTCTTTTGTTTACATTTTCGTGGGTGAGTTGTCCCCCTTTCATTCTCACGATGTGTCTTAATCGTGTTTTCAAATTGATTTTCTTAAAAAACAATTTTGTTTTTCCCATTTTCGGCACCGTTAGAACCATCACAAGGTAATTTTATGTAGTCCTGTGAAGTTTTGTTGAAATCGGCTAAAAAATGTAGGAAATTCGATCCAATATATAAACGTTACAGACACACACACACACAATCTGCGTTTTATAATAAGTAAGATTTGTTACAACTGCTGACTAAACAACATTCATGGAATTTATAGGTCTTGGAGAATATGCCACATATTGTACTTGCACCCCCCCATTCCAAAATCTTATGTGCCATTGTATTTGCAATATGAAAATGGGTGTATATCCTGTAACAAAATCTACTGTCAACTTCCTTTGCCCAGATAAAAGTTTTTTTTTCTCTTTCAATGCACTAAATGAGCTGATTGCTCATCGTAACACTTGGCAGTAACAATTTAAGTTCCAACATTTGTAATAAGTTGCATTTAAATTTTCCTCAATACAAAAGAACTTTTCATTCATCATTCCCATAGATTCTGTTTGGCATGAGTTTCATAATAAATATATTTTTCATCCCCAGTGACTATGTTGTTCAAAAATTATTTTTCTAGAACACACACACAAAAAAAAAACATGTTTAAATGCTAACACCTATCATCTCTTTTCAAAGTTCATGTGGAACCTATTTTCTGAATGTTTCCTTAAAGTTTACAAATAAACAATTGCTATGGACAAATGATTGTGAAAGCAATAGAGTCAAATAAATAAACATAAATTTAAACATATCAAAATTTCTCCAGAAGTTATGCAAAAGCTGTTACTAGAATAATTTGCATTAATAAACCCAGAAAGAAAAGGATTAAAATATTATTTTTTAAATGTCATGAAAAGGAAATCTTGATAGAAAGAAATTGGATATGTATTAAATTTTTTTTTTAAAATAGAAACGTTGTGTACTTGATTTCAAAGTTGACTTAATTTCACAATTTGTAGACCTTTGCTTATTTAACCTTAAAATATATATTTTTTGCATAAGGATTTGAAACTAACTATTTTAATCTAGAAACGAAAGAAATACTGAATTTAGAAACAGATTTCTAAATTGCCTCGGATATCCTTTTTGACCAAATTGTAGTAAAATTTTAAGAAAAAAGAAAAAAATACCTTTACAATAAGCCATAAATTCTTCATTTTTATCATAATGTTCTCTGTGTACTTTCATATGGCAACCTAAAAAAGAAAAAAACATTTAAATTGAAGTTTAACTGAAAAGGAAGACTTCAGAGAATAGAGAGGAGAGCAGAAAGGAAATGTTCTTTGAAAAGAAAGTGAATTCAACACTTGAACAATTATTCTAAATCAGATCAAGGCTTGTAAATGTAACTTTCACTGACATTTGTCTTGTAAACTAACTTTTTTTCATTGACATTTTTCAGGGTGAAGCATATGTTCTTGCTGATAACATCATGAATAATCTACAGAAAAAATAAATATAATCTATAATTGAACAATAAGTATCTGATTATGAGGATAGAAATATGGCAGACATAAATAAAATGCAGTCCTTTTAATTGTTTTTACTTTTGCCCAATATTTGAAAGTCATTAGTTTATATTAAATAAAACTAGGGCCTTTGAGAATTTCTAAACTACTTTAAGTACCATATTTTCTTGTGTATAATATGACTTTATTATAATACAGGCTTGTGTTTCTGATGCTAAAAAACAAGGAATAAATTACATCTTTGAGTATAATACAACCCCTTAATACAGCCATCTCTATGTAAATTTTTTTTTTCTTCTAAGAAACGTACCCTATTAATGGATGAGGCATGGTGGATTAATGGATAGTGGCTTGGACTGAGGAAATGGGGAGCTGAGCTCGGATTCCACTCAAATCTATCATATTCACTTATGTGCTAATACCCTCAGGAAAGGTATGAATCCTCATCTTCTACCCCCAGCTATAGATAAATAGCAGGACAGACCAGGTTCTATAGCTTTGGATGGCAACTGGTCTACCATAGAAAGAAATGGCAACCTACTGCGGGGAAAAAAATCTGCCTCGTCAGTCATGTATTGAAAGATACATGATTACCTAAGAGTGTATCACACATGGCACATAACTGACTGACCCTATTAACATTAAAATTTCAATGTTGTCACTAAAATATTTAATTTTTCACAATATTAAAGAATAGATATGAACCAGATATTTAACCATTGTGTGTTTCTTCTAATTTCAGTTTCAAAACTTATTTTGAATTTTTTGGGAAAAGTGCTAACTAGATGTACACAGTAATACATTTTAAGGTGTTAATTAATTTGTCATACTTTTCTGTTTGATATGAAATTATTATATTTATATATATTAATAAACTATGAAAAAAAATTGTCTTTCATTAAGAATGAAGAGAGAAAACTTTTTAATAAAATAAGAAAATCAAAATATAAACAAAATTTAGCTTACAAGCAAAACTGAGTGTATTTGAAATCCTTACCATTTCAAATAAGAGTTTTTAAGCAATTTCTGAAAATATGTACTTCTGTATAATACAACCTCCACTTGTCAAAATTTTTCATATTAAGCACAAGGAAATATGGTAAGATTTTCTAGTTTATATCAAAATTTTTCAGTTTGGGGTGATGACTTAATGATGAGCAACTAAATTGAAGTAATACATCACTTGAACATTTTTTTTTTTTTAGAAACTTGCTGGGATTTTTGCTAACAATAAGTGAATGAATAATCAAAAACAAGAGTGAAAAACTTTTAAAAGCAATTATTTAAAGCTTTCAATGATAATACTGCTTTATATATGTGCCATAAAGGGCTAACAAAATCAAAGTTAATTGCTAATTTTACAAATATGTCTAGAGATAATCCTTTTTTTGAAAATATTTTCTTAAAATGTTTTATCAGTAAAAATTTTATTAGAATATAAATTTCAAAACCTTCACATTTTACCACCATTTTCAATAAGTATTCTCTAAAAACATAGAAATTATTTCATCATTCCACTTTTATTCTTTATATAACAATTATATAGATATATCCAAATGAATGACAATATTTTTCCCTGATTAAAAAGTTATTTTAAAGAGAAACTGTAAACTGAATTTATTAGATTTATAGAAAAAATTTGAGTTTGATCAGATAAATGTAAATTTTGAAAATGTATTGCTTTAAAGGAATTTTTTTTTTTTTTGTTGACATCAGATAAAAGCAGAGGATACATTTTGCAAATAACTGGTAATTTAATTTTCTTAATGACATTTTCAATAAATCTTTACTTACGTTTACACTCTAAAGCAGGTGGCGGATGTAACACATGCCAGACAGGTTTATTACAAGAATCACAAGTTGTTGGAATCCGGTAGTGAATTGGAAATAAGTCATGTCCTTTATGAGTAATAATACCGGCTCGATCCTGTAAAAGGTATTTAAAAATTGAAGTTGAAAATGTTTATGAAAGTATATATAAAATGTTAAAATATAAGAAAGATAAACTTCTTTCTACATAGTGAAGAAATTGTTAATTATATTACAATGGGTTTTATATAAACATTATTAATCTAAAAAGAAAAAGTTGGTGCATTACATACTTAATTTCAGTGACTATAAAACATGTGAAAATAGGAATAAAATGGAGCTTGGAGGGAGAAAAAGATTTTTTTAACAAAATTTTATCAATTACAAATATATTTCTAAATCATTTCCTTAAAAAATTCTTGGTTTATTTTATAGACAATATTTGTCTTTGTGAGAATTGAACTACAAGTAAAATGTTTGTAATGATTAAAAAAAAATCTTAAGGTATGATTGATGATGTATGAAGTGTAAGCACAAAATGACTTTACAAATTGGATGCAAATAGTATTAGTTTGTTCATAATAAAGCTACTGATTCTATTTTAACGCTCATCTCCTCCATAATCCAAGACTAACAACATTTTTAATTGATATTTTATTTGTTGTTTATTTAGTGAAACATTTATATAATTCTATTGTTACTATTTTTAATTAGATATAGAAAGCTTTTCAATCCTGGGATTTCTATATTTATGATTTCAATATGGGGTTGCAAGAAACAACTTTTGTATTTGGGGAAAAATACTGCATGTAATATTTTGGTTTCAAAAACAAAATTAGAACACAAAAGAGAAGTTGGCTAAATCTATCAAGAATAAAGATTGGAAGGCTGTGTTTATACAATTTTATATATACTTCATTTAAATTTAACACAAAATATTTTGTAAGTATTGTAAAAAATTTTTCAAACTGAGCAGTACCAAAACATTATAACAGCAGTATATATGTAACAATTAATAATAATAAATAAATAGAAAAAAATGTAAGATTTGAAATAAATGAAAATAGTGGAAAAAATATTGATAATTCATCAACTCACCTGAGCTTCTTGTGAATCTCCTTCAGGTTTTCTGTTTTCACCTTCTGTTGCATAGAGGATCTAAAAAGATACAAACAAAAAAAACAAGAATAAAAACATGTCAAGTTTTTATATAAAAATTTAAAATATTTTAAATTTGGCAAGTAACCATGATATTTCATACATTATAAATCGTTTGTATATTTATAATTTCTTCAAATCTTCAAAATCCTATTTATTTGCTAAAAATGGTCAGAATATATTTTCAGAAGAGTTCAATGAATGATTCTGAGAATTTACCTGAAATATCCTTGGAATATCCTTTGCATCAGCTCGATAAACATCTCCTTGAGTGACTGGACGAACATGGAATAATTTGCTGTAAAGACAATAATTGCAAATCAAAACTCTAAACAAAAAGAAGCAGCAATATCAATGATATCCAGAAAGTGTATTCTTATATAAAAACCATTCTCAGTTTTTTAGTTTGGATTTACATTTATAATAAATACTTATATTTTATATGTATAAACTATTTTTTTTTTCATCTTGCTTATTTTAATAAGAACTGCTATAGTATAGGTACTTCCATGAGAGCGCTAAAAAAAGAGCATAGCATTATGAAAAAGACGACAAACTAGACAAAAACAAAATTTTATTGTCTAAATACTTATATTATTATTAAGAGAAAAGATCAAAATTTATTTTAATTATTTTTTAAAATTTTTCCTTCTTTTTAGAACATTCTAAATTTTGATTAAAAAAACCTTGTTTCTTTTTGTATCACCAGAACTAGTAAAATAACGTATACAATTTTTAGCACGTTTTTTTTTGTATGACACACATTAATTTGGAAAATCTTGCAAAAATAAAAATAATTGTCAGATGTTAATGAAACTTTCAGAAACTATTCACAGATGATCAAAATATTTTTTTTTATTAAAGTCATGGCAGAAATTTTTTTTTATATTTATTACCCGCCCCCATAACTAATTTTATGAAAATGCTAGAAATTCGATAGCGTCAGGTTTAGTGATTACAATAGTTAAAAGCACAAGGCTTTGAGGAATGCAAATCATGTTTTTTTTTGCTTTTAATTGGACCCCACTACCTGAAAATCAGCTCTGAATTGTAACATACAAAACTCAATAAAACAAATATATTATTTAATTTCAAATACTTTTATTTGCTTTTAGTTGTTTTTATGGACAATATTTTCTGAAAGCAAAAAAATTTTTCAATGAAAAATGAATTTTTAATACAATTATTTCTTATTTCTTTAATTATAATAGATTTTTACATTTAAGTTGTTAAAATATTATAAAATTAGTTAAAAGCCACATCAGGTCCTTTTTTTAGCGTGTCGTAAATTGTATCATTTTGACTAATCAGAAGATTCGCAGTAATTAAAAAATGTAATTTTGTGTTTTTAATCAGGCTGTAATTATAAAGTATGGAAGACCAACCAGAATACAATTAAGTTGCGTTATTTGAGTTAAGCATTGTTCTCCGCTGTTAAGGCCTTTACTTTTGCGAAACACGTATGGAGAATTTGATTTTTCAATTTCAACTGAGAAAGGTACCTACAAGTATCAGTATCATCTTATGAAATTTATATGATCTTACTTTTATATTAATCTCGGTTCTGACATTTTTTCTATAAATATCAAAATTAATAATAAAATGAATGGAAATACAAATAACACAGTAAAATGTAATAAATGTACATAAAATTATAGTATTTTATGTACACTTCTGATAAAATTTCATAAGAAAGGTACCTATAAATTAATTAGATACATTTCTTATGAAATTTAATCTCACTCTTAACAGTCTTATTTTAATTTCTTTATAATATATTTTCCATAAAGCATCGTAAATGTAAAGGTGAAAGCTAAGTACAAAAAAAAAAAAAAGGAAAGTTGAGTGCTGAAAGTTTTCCTTAAAAATAACGAGGTAAATAATTTGTTCACTTAAATGTAAATGATTTCACTTTTCTCCTTCTGTAGAATAAATTATCCTCACAGAATCCATCAATATGTCATTCATCACCTGTCAAGTGAGGCGAAAGTTTATGACCTGCTGTTTTATTTTCAAATTACATCTTTTCGACACAGAAGCTAAATTAAGCTTGGTTCAAAATATTTTAAATAAACATTATAATTTCTGATTTTCTTAAAATAAGTTTTGAAAAAATGATAATTGATATTCAAAAGAATTTCAAAGTGAGATTTTCATTTTTTTTATAAAATGGAAAAAAAAATGGTTGCCATCTGTCAATTTTGCTGATTCAAAAAAAAAAAAAAAAGAAAAAAAAAACCCAAGATTTTTAACAAAAATTTCGGGCATGCTAGGAACGATTAAAAAATGTAAAAAAATACCCCCAAAATACTTTGATCTTTCCTCTTAACATTTAGACGATAAAATTTTGTTTTCGTCAAGTTTGGCATCTTTTTCATCAGACTATGCTCTTTTTTTAGGGAAAAACCTGAAAATATTGGTTTATAATACAAACAATATGTTCAGAAAACTTCTTCAAAATATCACATTTTGATGAAAAACTGTTTATTTCTTTTTAAATATATAAAACATTATTTGATAAAAGTTACATATTTGCAATGTAAACATTTTGTTCATAAATAAAGATTCATAAACTGGTTGATGCAACAATAAATAATTGATAAACAGAACTGTACTGTGGCAATATTTGCTTTTAAATGGGAAGTAACTCTTGTATTTCTGGTTAGCAACACAATAATGGTAATGATCATGGTGAGAATATCTACTTCCATACAGGAAAGGTTAATGTTACTGTTGGTTGAAATTTATGAAATCTTTCTCTTAAAAAAAGTGTTTCAGGAAAATAATCATCTCAAATTCTGTGATCACTCTTTAGTATTGATGGGAGTTTCCTTCCAAACCGTTTGTTTAAGGGAGGTGGGGGGTGAAATAATATACAAAGAATTACTTAAATTTTATTTTCAGATATTTGCTGAACTAAAAAGCATTGGCTAAACTAGCAACATGAGTTACTTTTATGGAAACCAAGGTAATTACAAAATTATACAAAATTTATCTGTAAAAAGAAATGTTGGCTGGTTAGATATTGGGATGAGATAAAAAAAAAAAAAATCTTCATATCAAGCTTCATTTACACAAAGTTTTGTACACTTATAAGAGAAGAAAATAGAAAAGCTGAATTTATAAAGATAAGTTTTTTAAAGTTCAGGTAAAAGTGAGTATTTATACTTACTCAATATCCAGAACCATAACAGGATCTGAATTCATCTTGTCATTTGCCGAGTTGTAGAAGAGAATTTTACGGCTGCTAACCACCACAAACTGTTTTCTCCAACTCAGCTTTTTTGCAGAATTAGACTTATTTGGGATAGCAAGCCAACCATCCAAGAGGTTGTCTGAGGAAAGACATAAAATATTTGGTTAAAACTGCATGACAGCATTTCTTCTCAATTTAAAAAAAAAAATACTAATTTGAACAGACATTAATTAGGGAAAAAATGTTTTTGTTAAGACAAAATTTCCTGTTGACACCTTAAATGCTTCTTTTATGTATATACCAAATCTTTACATTGAAAGTATTTATGGGAGAGTTGAGGCTATAGGAAACTGTAAATACTAAGATATCTCAGGATTTTTTGCAATGAGAAAATACTTTCACAAAAATTTGAATTTCTAAATATGAAAAGTTCCAAATAAATCATAAAAGAAATTTATTCTTAATAATTGTAAGTAATTAATCTTATATGAATTTTTTTCTTTTGCCTGAATTCCATGTTTTATGTTAAAATTTTACATTTTTGAGACACTGTGCAAAATTTTGCTTTCAATAATGCTTGAAAACTGACCAAAAGTTTCAAATAATATATTTTTTACATTATATTTTGTAGTATTTAAAAAAACAAAAAAACAAACTTTGTTGCTATTTTTGTCTTTGTTGTCAGATACTACTAACAAACATATAAATGAGACAACTACTTTTAGAAAACATTTTAACAATATTGTGTTTTTGTCCCAATATTTAAATTCAACCTTGGAACAACTGAATAGAAATGGAAATTCAGTGACTTAATTATTTTGATTTCAATAAAAATAATCAAGTACCTAAATTCCCAAAGTTATTTATGCAATAATTCCAACATTCATTGACACAGAAGAAATTCCAGCTAAAAAAAAAAAAAAAAACAGTGGGGGGGGGTGCAGTTTACCTGGAGTGCTGTCGTCACTAGGTGCAAACTCTTCGGCACTGCCACTGTTCACAGATGTGGAGTCAGCATTCATCAAAGCCAACTTCTGTCGTAGTTGTTCAATCTCACTGTCCTTCGAGTCTAACTCCAGTTGTTGCTTAGCCTTAATTTGTCCTTCTTCATATAAGGCAGAGGCCATGTCGGATATATCTCGCTGAAATTTCTCTACCATTTTGTTATATTTTTCACGTTCCTACAAGAAAGAAAATGCTTGGGTAATCATCTTTAAGAAATAAAATTTCAGCAATTATCAGTTATGGAAAAATAGGAAATTTTCTTTTTAGTAGAGGACAAGTTTTGATAAATCAAACATTTATGTGAAAAACACAAAACAAGCTTATTTCTTTTTTTTTTTCATCAGCTATTAAAAGAAACAAATTTCATTAAACTTTCCTCAATGAAGTTTTAAAATTTTACAATATTAAATCAAACATACAATCTTTGAATCATAATCATATTTTTAGACACATTTAACAATCAGAAACATTATGAAAGTAAGAGTTAAATTGATGGAAAACTACATTTTTAAGATTCTAGCCATTAGTAAAAGATTTCTTTCAAAGCATTTATTTACAAGGCCAGATTTCAACTATCTGCTTCTTTTAAAATAATTTAACTATGTGAAGTGTATTGCTAAAAATGAAAAAAAAATTAAATAATTAATATTTATTAATATTTTGTAAATGTTTCCAATTTTCCAACTGAAAACAAATCAATTAGATTAAAATAAAACTTTTATGAAACAATTTTCACAGTAAAAGGAAACAGTTTCTTACCATTGTGAGTTCTTGTTGTAATCTGCGACATTCTTTTTCTCGCTTCCTAAGAGCTGCTGATTGAGAACTACTAATTTTCTTGCCTTTTTCAGCAAATTCTTTCCTATTCATTACTTCAGCCAGTTTATTCACAGCCTACAAAAAAATTAAATTACAATTAGTCTGTAAATCATCTACAAGTGACTGAAAAGAAAATATTAAAATAAGGAATTGATAATCGTTGTTCATTTATCTAATAATCCCACTGACTCATCAATAGAATCAACCAATGAAAAGAAAAAGGAAACATAAATACTCTTAAAAGAGGGGCATAGTGAATTTGCACAATGGTTTCAATGTATTAGGTTGGTGCATAATTATCAGGCGTTCTTGAACAATATTTATTATGAAAAAAGAAACAACATTTTTAAATGAGTATGATTATCGACACACATTTTATTAACCTGAAAATGAAATAATATTTTTATTAAAAAAAAAAAAAAAAAATAAACAAAATAGCAATTTTTATTAACAAATAATTCACCTACAAAAACGCCTGATAATTATGCACCAACCCAATAAATGGTAATTATTTACTGTTTCTTTATAAGGGAACAGTCGCCATTCATTGACCAAGCAGCCAGTACTACTGTCTGTTGAAACTCATAATATCTTTCTATTAAAACAGTTTTCAGGAAAATAGGTTTCTCAAATCCACTAGCTGTATCGCCCTTTCCAGTACTGATGGGGGGGGGGGGTCCTTCCCAACCTTTCATTTGAAGTAGTGTGTAATGTCAACATCATGATTATGTCATTATTTTCTCTTTGAGTTACATTTTAGTTTTTGCAAGTCTTCAAGTGGTGCAGTTTCTACAATTTAAGTTTTTTTTCTTTGTGATTCTGTAGTGCCAATTCACCATGTTTGAAGAAGGATAAATATTCATTTAGCTTATTACAAATGTAGAAAGTAATCGGACAACAATAAAAATCTAAAGTTCTTTCAATCATTGTTCACAACCCTAATTCCCTTTGTATATGAGCAGTGAGATGTAAGTTCCATTCAAGCACCAACAAATAAGATGCTTCCTTGACTGCTATGCTATTTATCTGTTCAAGTCTAGGGTTAAACATGATCTTCCCTACATATCTACATAAACTCTGCATCTTATTCTATAACCCTCTAACTTGAGTGACTCTTGGGCCTTGTACAGGGGAACATTATTTAAAAAAAAAAAAAAAAAAATTAATTTGTTCCAGATTAAAAAAAACATTATGCTAATCTAATAATGTATTACTGATATATTAACAATAAAATAAAATGACACTGATGATTATTATGATTGTCAACATAAGTGCCAATTCTTTACCTGGGTTTTCTTCATCTTCTCTTCAGCCAAATGTTTCCTGAGTTGGTTCATTTCACTGATATTGTTTTCAGTTTTCTCATTCTTTAATTCTACAGAAAATAAAATAAAATACCAAAATGATGTCAAAGAGGAATGAAAATCAAAAAAAATAATAAAGAAGCAACTTATTAGTGCAGTCATTAGAAAAAAAGAGAGGCTATAAATATGAAAAGGTTAAAAATGCTAGCAAGGTCACATTTTTATTTTAATGTCATGTCTCTTCAAGGCATGCCTGACCAGGGTTTATGAATTTTTTTTTTTTTTATTATTATTATTATTATCTCTTCATTCTTGAGAATGATATTGGAGTGATTTCCCATTATGTTCTCCATGGTTTGGAATTCATAGGTCTTCCTTTCTTGGACTGGTGGCACATGGCCATATCACATTGAAACTCCAGTTCTCACACAATCACCAGTTAGGCAACATCAAGCCTGGTCAGTACCTAAATGGGTGACTGTTTGGGAATACCAGGTATTGTAAGCTTGAATGTGTGGGTGGTGTAACAGCTCAGAATTAGAAATCAGAGAGCCAAGTTCCAATTCCAGTCAGGTTCATTATATTCACTTATGCACAAATAACCTTGGGAAAAGTAGTAATCCACTTCTTCTCCCCCAAGCTATGGGTTAATTAATGGGACTTGTATCAGTAAATCATTGTTATCTCAAATTAAAAAAAAAAATTTCTTATAATCTAAAAATATTTTCTCGCTTTAAATAACCTGCCAAAGGTTGATAAGCCATAATATCTGTTTTAATGACTTGAAACTGACAAGATATATTGTTCATAATTTTTTTTGTTCTGCACAACGAATAGGAAAAACTATCAAGTGTTGTTATTTTAAGATTTCATTATTCTAATCTTTACTCAGAGCAATAATTGCCCACTTTGTTTGCCACATTAAAATTTAAAATCTAATTTACAAAGGATTAGCAATATTACAGTATCATGCATTAAAATGCCAATATCAACAAGTCTTTTTCATTCCAATTTAATAAAATCTTTTCTAGCACTTACCATCGGCCATCTTATTCATCTTGTTAATCAATTCATCTTTCTCGTTCTGAAGCTGTTCATTTGTCTTGCAGTATTCCCGTTTCGAATCTTCCAACTTTAAAAAAGGAAAGAAAAAATAAAGTTCAGTAAAAACAAAAAATTTTCAATATTTTCAGCAAAAAAATTGATACTATTTCAGTACTTTTCATCTTCATCATACAAAAAAATTGAAAAGATAAAAATATTTAATATAACAAAATCCAGAGTAAAAACTTGTTGCTAAGTACCTAAAGAGTTTTAAGTATTAATTAGTTAATACATTTTGCTTTCATGTCTATCTCATTAATATTAACTCTTAATTTGATACATTCAATTATTTTCTTTTAAATGGTGTCGATTATAGGGAAATTCAAAAGAAAAGCATGAACTCACTAAGCTTATAACAGATTCTTTCCGGCTAAGTTCAGCCTTGTGTCGGATCTTCAGTTCTTTGATTTCTAATTGTAACATGGTTTTCTCCTTTTCTAAATCTGTTAGGTTTTCTTCAGCAATCGTACGGGCAATTTGCTCAGACTCTACAGAAGCCATAGCCGTTTTCAAATTCTTGTTCAATTTCTCACTGAAAGAAAAGAAAATTTTCATTTAAAAAAAAAATAAAAAAATGTTAGAAATGCAACCAAGCAGCATATATGGATATTAATTATTCAAATGATTTTGTCATATATCTAAATAGAGTAAAAATAACCAAATAATGGATTACAAGGGGGTTCTGAAAAGTTCTTGGTCTGACCCACTTAGTAAATCTGACCAAATGACAAACATAAGATTTTTTTTTTTTTTTAAACGATTTCTTAGGTGAGCTTAAAACTTTTCACCACCACCTTGAGCATTGGCTACTGAATAAGATATACACAATTTGTGCTATTCAAACATTAAGTAAGGGAGGTTACTGATAAAATCAATTTTCGAAAGAAACCAATGAATGCTAATGACTGAAGATAAGACAAAAACTAATTTTAATTAGAGATCATGATTAATTTCTTGATAAACATTAGTTACAAACGTGTGTGTTTATATATATATATATATATATATATATATATATATAAATCATTTCACCCCAAGTAAGGCAGGAATGCCACGAGTATGCCGGAGGCGACAGGGAGTTGAAGTGTTACTTTAAAAGTTAGTCAGACAACTCATTCAGTGTTAAAAACAATTTTAAGTCATTTTTTTTTTTTTAACTCATGTAACATCTGATAATATTAAGATTAAACAAAGTACAATAGTCACAGTGTGTGTGTGTGTGTGTGTGTGTGTGTATCTGTTTTGTTTAATAAATAACAAGGATCCAACTTACTTATCCTGTTCTAACGTGGACACGTCCGAAGACAAATCTTCATTCTCTTTAACATGCTCTTTGATCTCCTCCTTCAGTTCCTTCACTTGTGCTCGGTATAAGGACTGTAAGAAATTATGCAAATATGTCAGAATATCAAGTCTTAAAAAAAAAAAATGAAAATACTTAAAAAGCTGTTCACAATGAAGAGAATTCGCACTGTCAACAACAGCAAACACTGTTTTGTGTATAATCATCTAAGAAATTCATTGATTCAGGTTTTCTTCTAAACAATTGTGTACATATAGTTATACAAACAAAATCATTTATAAATTATATAAACATTTCATAGTTCTACCATAGGTAAATTTGACAATAAAATATTAATGAGGTCCTATTTAGAAATACACCTTCATTTGTGCTTACAATAATAAAAATGAGATTTATTTATTATTAATAAAATATATTGAAAAGGAAAAAAATAAACAAAACAAGAAAATGAAGAATTTAGAAAAATCAATGACTTGTTAGATTTTTGAAGGGGTGGGGGTGAACATCATAGGAATTAACAGGGTCTCTATTCAAAGCTGAATATCAGTGGCTATATATAATAAAAAAATAAATAAATAAAACCAGAAATTAGGAGGGGGAATAACTCAAATTTTCCAAAGACAACTTAAAGCATGATGACATGCTTACAGACAAATTATCATGTAAACAAAAGATATTTAAAGATATAAATCAAAAAAAAAAAAAAAAAAAAAACTGTATAAATATGGTTTTTATATGTCTCCCCATACAGGAAAAACAAATTTATGCACAATTACACAAGAGAAAGTTCCTACACATAAAGTTAGGTTTTATATTTGTATATAAGAAAAGCTGGGAGAGGTTTTTTTTTTTTTTGATACACAAAATCCTCATAATTGCAGACCCGTCCATCCAGAGATGACAAACATTCAAGAGATCTGACAAGATATGATCCACAGATTTATTTTTTAAAATCTATTTCTTTGTCAGAGGTTTTATATTATTAGTGATTAACCTTGTTTTTAGATACTCACTGAGAAGTATGATTCTGCTTCAAATTGATCTTGAAGTTCACGCATCTGGAGATCAACTAAAGATGATTCTCTGCAAAATAATAACATTTCAAAAACATGTTTAATATTATTAACAAACAAATGAAAAGCTAATATACAAGAAAATTACATAAAAATTATTAATAATTAGTAAAAATGTTGGATAGCAGATTGTGCTAGAGATGAGGTTAATAATTCTAAATTAGTAACAATCTAACAAAATAAAATTAATCTTAGTGATTTAGAGAATAGAATTTGAAATTTTTTTTTTATTCAGTTTTATTTGAAGAAACAAGTTTACTTTTTAAACTGTAATATTTCAATTTTTCAATGATTTTTACCAAATTTAATTTACAATGTTACCAGTTTCTCTTAATTATAATATTTTTTGTAAATTAAATGAAAACTAAAACTTTTATTCTTTAACCATGAGTATTCAGTTAATATACAAAATATAAAAACATTAAAAAAAGAAAAGAAATTTTAAATTTCTTTTATAGATTTTATAAAAAAATGCCAATATGCTTAAAAAAATAAAATAAAGCCCAAGAAAACATTGAAAATTTTAAATAATTTTATATAAACAAACAAATCCCATTTGTACTTAGTATTTTGAAGGTAATGTGGAATACAAAGTTTTCTTTAAATGATGTTTTATGTAAAACTATCAAGATTACAAAACAAATTTACTTACTCTTTCAGTTTTCTTAATTCTTCTTCGACTTTTTGTCGCTCTTCTCGCAACTCACTGAGATCCTGAAAATTTTTAAATATCATTAAACCGAGTTCTCTAACAGAGTAATGTTTTAAAATTTAAAACAATTATGGAGTAACAGAACATTCAATGAATTTCAAGTTGACAAAGTGAAAATTTAAAAAATTATATATATATATATATATATATATATTTGGTTGGATAGATGTGAGTTTGTGACCTGGGTTTCACGCTTTAGCGATTGTCAGACAAATATGTTAGCTCTATCTCTGATATTGAGCACTTTCTAATAAATACCACATATATAATATATAAATAATTATATATATATATATATTTTATTTATATTTATATACACACATTTATATATATATATATATATATATATATATATATATATATATATATATATAGAGAGAGAGAGAGAGAGAGAGATACACATGATGCATCAGTTAGTTGAGAACAAATTATAAGAAATATATTCAATAAAAATATATCAATATATAATAAGCATAATACTTGTAATAATAAAAATAAATTGTATACAAGTTCGATTCAGCTTTCATCATGATCCTTCAACCTCCCTGTGTGTTTGGTTGGAACTCCATTAACAACCCCTTTCACACTTTAATTTGGCTTTAGAAGCAACTACATGCTCCTATCAGGTGATTGTTTTGTATGTTTTTTATGAACACACTAGATGATCTCTTAAATGAAGACTGAAATGGAGCAGTCCAGAGGATTAGAATCAAGAGAGCTAAGAGATAATCTGTTTGGGATGACATGATAAAATTTCCAGTGAGTCACATGATCTATGTGGGAAGGAGCAGAGTCCTTCTGGCAAACCCAAATCCATCCACTTCAATCCATAGCCTGACCACTATATTCAGCACCACTATATAAAGGGGTGGCATTTGCCCTGAGATCCTGAAGGAAGAAGTCGAATGGTATGATATGGCCCTTAAAACAAAGTCTCAAGGGCCATCATAGACATGAATTTTATGTTCATCATCATTAGTAACTTTGTGGGGTCTGCATGAAAAACCACCTGTTGTTCCTCTTGTTCACCTGGACACTTTCAAAAAGCTCATTAAAGTAACTGTGCATGTTGAGAGGTGGACACAAATACAATGTTGCCTTTTCTTTTACCATGTCAGATTGGAAGCTATGTTTTTAATTTATCAAAGAGAATAGACAATGTCAAACTTTAACACATGCTGTGTAATTTTACATTATGTTGCCTTCCATTTATTGTATACTAAATGTGTGTTCTGTAAATCATTGATACAGAAGTTTTTATAAAGTTAAATGTGAATGTGTTAGAAGATTAAACTAAAGAGATAGTTTTGTAACACCCATGAAATCCAATATAACAAAAGCAATGTTTATAATTAAAAAATAAAGTTAAGCAACCACTCTCAAAGAAGGCTAAGGACAAAGAAGCTGAAATTGATAAAAACTAATTATCAGAATGTAAGAAAACAGACTTACTTTTTCATACTGTTTTTCACGGGCTTTGGCTTTGTTGAGTTCTTGAGTCTGTGTTTTCAAATCACTCTGCATCAAATTACGCCGCTGAATTTCTTGCTCAACTTGAAGATTCAAGTTTTTCACCTGGAATATAAAAAAATAATCCAGTCATTTTTCTTTTAAAATAAACATTAACATTGCTTCTTATGAAATATTTTTGCAACAACTCAAATATTTTTATTTTTAAATCATGTCATTTGTGAATGAATTCCTTTCTGAGGAAAAACAATACCTAAATTGAAGGGAGGGATAAAAAGCAATCTTCACATTTGCACTTTATACTTAAAGTCAAAATTCCACTTATTTTTTTTTCTAATAATCTAAGTTTTCCCCTCAAGCTACAATATATGTTTTTAAGTATGTAGATGTATTAAGAAATTAATTTAAAAAAGTACAATTATGCATTTTAATAGAAGCTTTAAGAAGCTAATTTATAATTTATGATGGAATCACAAATACATTTGTATTTTGAAGACAGAATATAATTATGTAATGACTGTTTTATGTCATCAACAACTGATACTTTATATTTATGATTAAACAAAGATAATTTAAAGTTATTTGCTATCAATAAAGTACAAGATCTGATCATTTATTTTGTTATTAGTACAGCTACAAAAGCTTTGTTGATTTTGAAAAAAGAATTTCAGATATTTCCCTGATTTTCAAAAATGAAAGAAAACATTTACAGGAGTCTATTTCTTCAACAGGTTTTTAAAAAATTATTTTTGCTAGTTATAAAAATAAAATATAATTTATAAGACATTTATTCATGAAAATAAATTTAAGAAATGTTATTTTTTCATTAGTCTCATCTTCATGTAAATTACACAGAGGTTGCTTAATGGTTGCTCAGTGGTTAAAGGTTTCTACAGTTCAATCTTCAGTGCCAGGTAAGTTTTGTTTTTAAAAAGCACTCAACTAAAAGGATACTTGGACAGGGTTAGTCTTTAGCTACCAACAGTATTCACTCAACAACAGACAGGGAAAATATACTGCTTAATTAATGTATTTAAAAATGAACATGCTTATTTTTAAACACCTAAAAGTAAAAGCTGCTGACCTGTCAAGAAACCTAGGTTAAGGACCTTGGATCTAAAAATTATGTTAGTATATATATATATATATATATATATATATATATATATATATATATATATATATATATAAACATTAAAGAGTTCCTTCAGGAAATAAGCAATCGTGGCTCTTCACAACTTCCTTTTTTAATATCAGTAAACAGTGAATTGCTATGATTGTTTTGGGGAAAGGTAGTGGAATTGGTTCTTATTGTGTTCTCTTATAATTACTTAAGATTTGGACCATCATACCATAATTTTTTAATCAAAACTCTTATAGGTTGGTGACATTATTTATTTAAACTTTGATCAGAACTAACATTTTAGATTTATGAACATCTTTTTCAAAATCATGCCAAATTTATTGGAATACATTTAAGTAGGATTTCAATAAATTTGGCATGCTACTTTAAATAACTACTTTTGTAAGCAACATTTATGTCAACACTCACTCGGACATATGACTATCTTTGTCTGATTTCTGAAAAGTACATAAATGTTTAAGATATTAAAATAATAGATTCTTATCACCACTGATAGTCAGAAGCTGTAAATGTATAGATTAAAATAAATATTTTGATGATCAAAATCCAATTCTTTGGAACTAGCCAAATGTATTGAACAATTACAAAAGTTGAAGTTGCCTTGAAGACAATCAGTTATTAGATAGGGGAGGGTGGGAAGAACAAAAATCTATATTCAAAATAATCTTTAATAAAATTTATATTTTTACTATTATTGAAAACCTCAAATTACTCCAGCAATCAAAATTCAAAAAAAAATATTTTTTAAATCTTCCAAAAAAAAAAAAAAAAAAAAAAATTTTTTTTTCAAGTAATGACTGCTTAAGAAACGAAAGCAAAAATATCAGTTTTTTACTATATTTTTAAAAATTTATTTTACTTTCTCCTACACAGAAAAATACATTTACATTGTTTGGACTGTTGTCCTCATCTTTATTGTCATATTCATGTTTTGGCAATTATACACTCTGGTCTTCTTCAGGTGATATACATTAGAATTTCTAACTGAACCCTTTATTTCATCCACTGGGGTAGATTGTTCTATGTGCCATGTCTTTTCTGGATATATCAGTTCTCAGTTATTTCCCTTTAGTAACTCAACTCTCCAAGTTTTTTTTTCACCTATGCTGTGACCAGGTATTGAACTCACAACATTTGGGTCAAGTCACTGAATTACTTAAACCAATATTTTTAAATTTCAAGCATTTGAAATCAAAACGTATATCACCTGAAGAAGGCCAGAACATACAATAGCCAAAAATATCATGAACATGAAAATAAAGATGAGGACAACTGTCCAAACAGTGCAAATAAGTTACAATAGCTCATCTCAGAAATATAGACAGAAGAGAAAAGTATATTTTAAAAAAGATTAATAAAAAATGAAAATGTTTTAATCAATATCTGAAAACTAATCAATCTGTTTCAGAGATCAATTTAAATAATTGGAAATGAGATTGTAATGGAAAGCAGTCATTCTTTTATCATTTGAGAAAATCCAATCAACTAATTAAACAAAGTTCATATTAGGATGGTTCATGAAAATTTTTAATCAACTAACACATTTGTAGGAAATCTGATGAATTATTCTTGGCCAGTGAGTGTAGGAACATATTTTGTAAATAACTAATAAGGTAAGTGTCATTAACTGGACTGACTAACTAAACTAGCAGGATAACAATGACCTACACTATTACTATGTGCCCCCACTCACCTGGAAAAGTTCTATGAGACCATTCACTGAAGGTAAAGCTGCAAAAGATGGACTCTGCCACAAAACAAACACGTGTTTAAACATAGCTCTAAACAAAATGACTGTCTGCCATTATTTTCATTAGCATAAAAATAAATCAATTTTATTGCCATTTTGTACAAGCAGATGAATTTAAATAGAAGAGCATTGTTCTATAGATAATAATGGCTTCATCATTTATTTCATAGAATCAGAATTTGCAGGCACATAGAAGTGATACCAATAGAGGACACACATGCATACATTAAAAAAAAAAAAAAAATAAAGTTTTTAAGATTTTAAAAAAAAATAGTTTTTTTATGATAATCTTTTGAGAAATCTACCTAAACTGGAAATATGTCAAAAGTCTTTAAATTCATGTTAACAACCAGCAAAATCTGGAACTTCCTGTAATGTAGGTGGGTATGGGCAGATCTCCAAATCAAATTTTAAACTATAAATCTAAACTAGGTAAAGAAATTGCTATATTACATTTTATACTAATCTTTTTGACAAATAGAAAACTATACATATTATTATGTTACAAATATACCAGTTTAAAGAATGGCCAAATACTTAACTATTAAATTAAAATTAGCATTACATTTCTAGCTAATTAGTTGTCCAAGATTAGTTATCCTATGAAACAATTTCTCATTGTCTAGTCATACTTCATCTTCTGTTGCTCCTCCTCCTCAAATGCTGTTGAAGCCTTAATAATGGCTCTCTTGATAGATTTGTTTCTATGTTAGGCCTCCTGAGAAGATCCTTATTGCCTAGAATATGATTGCAGTTTCAGCAGATGAGGTTTAAGGCTCTAAGTTCTATACACTCATATTGTCTCATTGTCAAGTGGATTAACATTGATTTGTGAATTTGGTGACATAGTAACTGTGAGTTCAATCTCTGGGTTGGGTTTTGTTTGGTTTATTATGTTTTACGACATATCAACCTTAATTGGTTATTTAATGCTGACAAGATTTTTATTGCTGGTAATATTTTTTCAAAAAAATATATTCCTGGTAATATCTTTTTTCTTCAAAAATGTATTGCTGGTAATAATTTTTCCTTAAAAAAATATTGCTGGTATTAAAACCTATTTTTACACTTTCATAGTGTTTTGTCCCCAGTTTGGGGGTTAACTATTTGCCCATAGTTGGGACTTTAACAGGTGCTACCACCTTGGGTCAGGGTGAACCTGGGAATACCAGCAATTAAGAGAAGGTTCCATGCTGCACAAAACCTCCTGATCAGAGGCCTTGCTGTTGGACGTAGTTTATCATCTTACCCAGGACACCCCTGGGTCAGGTAGTGCAGAATTAGAATCAGTGGAAATAGGGTAAGCAATATGAGCAGTACTAAAATAATAATAAAAAAAAAAAACAAGAAGAGATATAAATAGACATGGTCAGTGAAATGAGAACAATCTACCCCCCCTAGATTAATTAAAAGGTTGAGTTCAAAATTCCCTGAAGGTTATCCAAATAAATAGGCACCTGATGAAGGTTGGAAGGCACGACAACAGAAACGTGATGATAACAAAGATGACGACAATAATCCAAATATAAATAAGCCAGAGATAATTTTAAATGTTTATACATTTGTGGAATCAAATCATATGAAATTGAATTTGGAGGACATTTTTCATCATATCCCCAAAAGTGATGTATGAATTCAGTAATTAAATAGCTGCTGATCAACTGAGAAATAAAGTTATTATCTCACAATAAATCTGGAAATGAAGCAAATATATATTTCGCTCCTTCATCAGTAGGATTCCCAGAAATCTTTTTCAAAATCATAATATAAAAAATAGAACTAATACCAAAAGGCAGCTATGTTAGAAATACACACAATTAACTTTAATATGACTGTATAAAATGAAAAATGTTGGTAAAGTTGCAGATATTTAAAAAGTCAATTTATCATAAAATTTCTCTTTAATATAGTCTCTTTTAATAAATCATCATATTCAATTATACAACATCTCATAAGTACCAGAAACTATCAACAGTGTAACTGCTGAAAAGATTACATTTAAATATATTTCTCATGTGGTTTTTGCTATTTTCTTCGTGGATTTTGTGTGCAGCTAAAATATTTGCTGGACAAACAAAAATTAACCAAAATATAACAAACATGATACTATGTCAGATTTTATTATGCAAGTCAATGTTTTCACATAAAATTGCTATTAGCCAACCAATGATGAGAAAACGTTCAAGACATGTTCACACTAAATATTAATGTTTCTGCCGAACATAAAGTGGGGGATCAGTTCTCTATTTTTACTAAGTAACAAATTGATTCAGCCTACGATGTCAGATTCTATTATACAAGTCAATGTTTTCACATAAAATTGCTATTAGCCAAGGAATGATGAGAACATTTTCAAGACATATTTACATTAAATATTATTAAAAGATTATGCTGGACATAAAGTGGGGGATCAGTTCTCTATTGGTACTAAGTAACACATTGATCCATATCAAAATTATGACACGTGTCAGATTTTATGATCCCAGTCAAGGTTTCCACAATAAAATTACTATCAACCAATGTAGATAACATTTACAGGATATATTTATATGATAAATATACAATGTAAATTTCAGTTTAAAATATCTGTTTTTATTAGCAATATTTTATAACATATTTACCAGTGTCAGATTTTATCATGCAACCTGAAGATAGATGATTATAAGTGTGTGTGTGTATATATATATATATATATATATATATATATATATATATAATATATATATATATATATAAAAATACTGAAAAATTGAAAAGTTGAAGAGATCACAGAAACAAAAATAACTTTAAGAATGTCATAAAAAGGAAATTTGAAGAAATTTAAATGAGCAGTAACCAAGAAAAATAAATCTCACGAGTAAGAAAATATTTAAAGAATCTGGTATTGCAAATGTAAACAAAGAGAAAACAATGCAGAATATTAACAACATTGTCTAAAGATGTGCATGCAAACAAATTAATACCATGTAAATTGGGCAAAGAAGTACAAGAAAACTGATTTTTTTAATAGGTAATCTCAGTGATGAATATAGAGCTACATTGATGAACCTGGGTGTCTATCATGTAGTCAATTAACATGACATAGAAGAGACTTGGACAAAATTTGTTTTGAGTGCTACAAGTTACAATCAAGGTGTTTTCAGCTAAACAGTATAATAATGCAAGACATTCTGTAAAGTTCAATATCAACCATTTTGTCAAGAAAGGTTTCAAAAACATCAAATTAATGGAATGGCTCTCAGCCTTGACAAATATAAGTTCAAAAGAATATTTTTGTTCATCATTAAAAGAGATTATATGAAAATGTAAAACAATATTCAAATAAAGAAAAATTCTAGGATGCAATAAAAACTGCTGCAAGTAATGTATGGTTGACCGTAGTTGGGATTATAAAGTCAATGTGAACAACACAATCATTTCCTTAGATGCATAGTATGTGTGTTGCCAGGGTTACATATGGTTTTTGAATTCAGAGCTGTCCTTCTCTTAGACTGGTTGCCAACCAAGGCTGCAGAGCCCAGAGTGCCCTACTTTTTAACCCATAAATGGAGGTTTTGAATTCAGAGTTATCCTTCTCTACCCAAGACTTTAGGACCCAGTCTGGCCAGCTATTTGACCTATAACTAGAGGAAGAAGAAATGAATTCATACTTTTCCCCAGAGGTATTTGCACATAAGTCAATGTAATGAACTTGACTGGAATTCAAAGTCAGTTTGCTAATTCCCTCAAATCTGAGCTACTATCCATTACTCCATCATGCTCCCATTTAAGTAATGTTACAAAAATAGAAATCTCAATAAAAAAGATAGAAGAAAGACTGAAGGTTAATAGATTGCATAGATTATATTGAAGGCATCATATGAACATATAAAATAATTTATTCAGGTATGTGGGATATTATGTTAAATGAAGTATGTTTCTTGTATATTCTAGATTAATTAATAGATTAAAATTTATGTTGCACTTAGTTTGCATAATAAAAACCAACACCTACAAAAGTTTTTATTTTGAAACTTGCAGAATATATTGCTAATAGAACTATGTCCTGAAAGATTTTCCAACACAAATTGGTTAATACCAATTTTATTTTGACATCACTTGTATAATACAATTTGACAATATAGATTTGAAAACATAAAATGTTTTATTAACTGCAATGTGAAGCTATTTTCCATATAAATCCATCCTTTTAAACATTTTTATTCACTTGGAAATTTTTACATTACAAAAAAAAAAAAAATTTTTCAATTTACAACTATTGGTTATCAACATAACCAATATATTTTGAGTAAAATAGTTTTGAATCAGTCGACTGCTTGAAAAGAAATTCATTTGGAACAAGTATAAAAAAAAAAAAAAGAAAAAGAAAAGGTACCTTTTCCGTTTCAGTTTTATTATCCCGATGCATTTGTTCAATTTTCTGCTGCATCTGAGACAAATCCAAAGATAGTTCACTCTTTTCTTTCTCTAACTGCAGTTTGTCACTTTCTGCCATTTGTCTTGTAACACGTTCTTGCTCAAGCATTGCTTGTAATTCTGAAGTAACAAAAACAAAACACTAAATAACAGAAAATTTAATTTGTTATCTTTAGTTTGAATTGAATTTTGTCATTTTATTTTTCAATTCAAAGAATAATGAATCTGTACTTTTTATAATAGTGGTAAGTTTAACTATTTTCATACAAGAAAACATTCAGTATTCATTGACCGGACACCTAGTGTTACTGTTGGTTGAAATTTATTAAAGATTTTTCTTAAAGCAAAAAAAAAAAAAAAAAAATGAAAAATGAAAAAAAAAAAAAAAAAAAAAAAAAAAAAGGAAAAAAAAAACAACTTATTTTCTAGTATTGATGGGAGTTTCCTTCCTAACTTTTTGTTTCTGGTAGTGCAGAGAGTTAACATCTTGATTATATCATTTTTCCCTTCTAGTTCCATTTTAACTGTTGCTGCTATTGAAAATCCTGAAATGTGGTTTTTGTTATTTGGGGAAGTTGTTTATGAGAAAAAGAAAATGCACATGTTTTTATACTGAATCTAAATATATCCTACATTTCAATAAACCAGTCCTTAATATTTTTTTAGATTTAATTAGTTTCATTGAGGACAACAATAAAATAAGCAGGTTTTTATATTATTTTAGCATAGCCAGCAGTTAATGTTTTCTAAGGTGACTTGGGCATTATGAATTACGAAAAGGTACAGCTAAGTTATACACTATCTTTAATTATTATCCATTATCAAAAATTACATTTTGATGAAATATTTCAGCTTTTTTTTTTTTTTTTTGTTTAAACATCATTTTTAAATAACTAGAATTTTTTTGCCACATGCTGATGCATGCTGAAATCCTCACAGTATTTAGTATTATTGAAGATATCGCTAACATTTTTTGTCAAGATTTACAAACTCTAGTTTTCGTTCAATTTCACAAACCAATCGATGAAATCTGAATAAGCTAATTTGCTTGGAAAAACACTTTGATAAAAAACCTATTTCATGGTTTGATAATTTCTTTAATTTTATAGGACTTCATGGTATACAATATTTTTCAAGAAAATTTCTTTTTCCTTTTGTAACAGCAAAGAACAAATTTTTAGGATTTCTTACTCTTGAGCATGCAATATACAACTGGCATGCGTAAATATTTCTTCTTGGAGCCAAATTCCAATTTTTTGAAGCATTTAGCCTTGTGATTTGTTTCTAGTTCTTGCAAATGCAAGGCAAACTGAAAAGTGGATTCTTCCATTCAAAAGGATATTTGGATTGTTTAGAAATAAACTATTATTTGTATCCTCTAACTTGTTTGCACTTCTCAAAATTTAGTTTCAATCAGTCAATATATGGCTATTTATTTTTGTGTCAGATGGTCTAATGGAAGTCACAGAATTTTATATAGATTATACATTCAAAACGTCTATATTTGCATTACAAGAAGAAAACAAATTGTCTGCTTATTTCTACAACCAATAGTGAAAACATTTACTGCTCACCTCTAATAGTTGCTAGATTTGCCTCTTCAGATGTTGAAGACACACTAGACTGGCAGGCATTAAATTGAGTCATGGTTGCCTTGTGCGCTTCAATTTCCTGTTCCCACTTTCTGATATACGTTTCTTTTTCAAGTTCCATGTTAGCTCGATCCTACAAACATAAAAAATATCTTTTTAAAGTCAATCACAACTACCTACCAGTAAAAAGCGATTTAATTTGAACAAAAATATATGCAAAATAAAAAAAAAGTTTTAAACTGAATTGCATTTGATGAAAAAATATTCCAGTGCTTGAAGCACTGTGGAATATTTTTCAGTTATCAGCACTTTTCAAATAAAAATGTTTATAAACATCTTATCACTGAAAAGGTTCCATTTCTTTTCAATCTAAACAAGATCTAGTAACTTTTCCTAATATGATATTTAATCTTCAATAATCTAAAAACAAAACATCTAAATAAATGTGAAAAAAAAAAATTACTTTTTATTAACATTTTTGTAAATGCAAGTGAAGTGATTGAAGATTTTTCTTATTCAGAAAATTTCTAAAATTACAAATGCCCCTGCCAACCAAACAAAAAAAAAGAAAGAAAAATTCACCATAAAAAAGTTAAATTTAAAAAAAAAAGAAATATTAAGAAACATTCACCTTTTTTTGTAGTAAAATTCTTAAATATTGAAAAGAAATTTATACAAGGATAAAGAAATCTTAAACCAAACATTTTAGATTTAATAACAGATTCCTTTTAATAAAGACATTATTTAGGATTTAAGATAGTAAATAAAAGGTTGCTTTTGCTAATTAATTTTATTACACATGTGTGTGTTGTTTCCAATCTTTCATGTAATACTTTAAAATTTAAGAATATTAGAGAGCCTATTATATATATATATATATATATATATATATATATATATATATATATATATATATATATATATATATATATATTACGCTTCTGATAAACTGTAATAATATTATAAATTGTGTTGGCATTTAGAAAAATGTAAAATAAATCCTGAATAGTCAAAGTAAAATTTAATTTCAAAATTCAAAGGTAAAACTTTTGTCAAGGATTTTACTTGAAGCTAACCGTATTTTTTCAAGTTACAACCATAAATTTAAATGTATTTTATTAGGGGTATTATATAATGAAGCAACTTAAAATAGGGTACCCTTTTAAAGTCTGGGGTGGGGTGAATGACATGGTCTTCAGAATTATTTCCAAACAAAACTTAAAAAGTACCAGGTACATATTCATCACCCACTTTTACTGCAAAACCTATAAGTAAAATCCGGTATAACCAATTGCTTTCAGAAGTCACATAATTAGTAATAAGTAAAGAAAAGAATGGAAAATGAGTTACGATCTTTAATTTTGCACTCCCCAGTTAAATGAACCTGTTCTGCAAACATTAACAAACAAATGACATCATGAAGACCAAAGAACTCAACTGAAGGATTAGGGATTAAGTTGTGGTGAAGTATAAAGTAGGGTTAAATTATAAAAAATATCCCATGTTTTAAACATCTCAGAGCACTATTAAATCCATCATCTGAAAATGAAAAGAGTATGGTAAAACTGCAAACCTATTAAAACAATCTGTCGACCTTAACTGACAGGCCAGGCAAGGAAGTCATAAGAAATCCCATTTGCAGTCTGTCGTAAACCATGAGAGAGATACAGTAAATATATGGAAGAAAGTGCTCTGGCCTTATGGTGGATCCATATCCCAAAAGACTTACTCTTCTTCCTATGCAACTGTGAAGAAGTGGGGTGTGAAATTCAAGCAGGACAGAGGCAGCACAGAAGATGACCCTCTGTCAGTTGATGCCATTCACTGTATGGTTTTAGACAACCGACATCTTACTGTCCAGCAGATAGTAAAGTCCATCAGCATTAGTTTGGGATCAGTCCATACTGTTTTAAGAGAGATTTTGGGGATGAGCAAGCAATCTGCAAGATGAATCCCAAGAATTTTAAAACCAGAGCAGAACCTAAAAAGGGTTGACATTTCCAGTACACTTCTGACTTGCTTTCAGGCTGATCCTGAGAATTTCCCCCACAGATTACTAACTCAATATGAAACCTAGGTTCACCATTTCAAACCTGAATCAAAGATACAAAGCAAACAATGGAAACACACTGGTTCTCCACCTCTGAAGAAGTTCAAGCAGGTAGCCTGCGTTGGCAAGGTGATGGATTCTGTTTTTTATTATTATTATTATTATTCTGAAGGCATAATCATGATAGACTACCTAGAGAAGGTAAAAACTATTAATGGACAGTACTATGCATCAGTATTAAGACAACTGAAGGAAACAATCGAGTTGAAACACAGAGGGCAGTTGAGGGCAGGTATGCTCTTGCTACAGGTTACCGCCCCCATTCACATTGCTCAGGTTGAAGTAGCTGAAGCAGCCAACTGTGGCTTTGAATTGCTACTTCATTCCTCTTCTCACCAAACTTAACTCCATCTGACTTCTTCTCATTTCCTAAACTCAAATCTCACTTGCGTGGTGACCATTTTGAAAACAATGATGAAAACATGTATGCTGTAGAGGAGATTTTGAAGGACATTCTTCTAGAATAGGATTGCAATGTTTAAGCAATGTTGGACCAAGTGTATTGGTGTCGGGAGTCATATTGAAAAACTGTCTTCTTTATCCAACTCCTTCTAGGTGAGGCTGAGAACATTTTTTAACAGTCCTCATATTAAGAGATTATGCCCTTTTACATATTTCAGGTTTACTTTTGTCTATACCACTATATTCACAGGTTATAAAATACCAAAAATGTTCTGCTTTTTTTTTTTTTTTTTAAACTGTCTAAAGACAGTTCATACTCTCATAGAATTGTAATCTGTGTTCAAATATTAATGCTTTTAAAAGACTATTTTAAAAACTGTTGTTTAATGGTTTAACTTCTGGAATTAGAATAAATATAAATTCAAATTACATTAAAAAAAAATATATTTTTTCATAATCATACCTTTTCTAATTGAAATATTGTTTTTTGAACAGTTTGGAGTTCTGCTTCAGTTGCAGTCTCTTTCTTCTTCAACATTTCATTCTCATTTTGTAAGTTGTTAATTTTCACTGGAAATAAATGAAATTGTCATTAATACTTAAAAACACTGTATGTGATACAATTTAAATGCGAGTAATTTACTTTTGTTGAGAGAGAAAAAAAAAGAAAATTTAAAAATTCAGAAACAAATAAATGTTGATTAGACATTTATCATGTAGAACAATTTTCCCTTAAATTAGGGGATGCTAACTTACTCCCCCTATAAAGGACAATAACTCAAAATAATTGAATTATTTTCCTTGTCTACTAGTTGGAGCCGGCACTTCTGAATTCAACATGTTGACAAGCTGACACACACATGGAATTCATGATCTGAATCCAAACTAATCCTTGCTGTTTTTAGGCATTAAATAAAAGTTATTTTATTGTGTGTTAAAATACACTTGTCTTATTTTCATTTGTTTTTGTTCATCCAAACAACCTGGAATATAACTAATGGTTCAGTGAAAAAAGTTCATCTACAAAATTAAAATGAAAACTAAAGGAATATACCTTTTCCTTCTATACATCATTTTTATAATTTGTATAAAGTTAATGTCTTTATATGAATCAAATTTTGAATATATTAATCTATCACTTTAGTCTTGAACCATATCATTGAATATAAATATTTTAACATAAAATAGAATTTCTCACTTACCTAAAAGATTTGAGGACTGCTCCGAAACCTTTTGGTTAATTGATGCCCTTTCTTCATTAAGTAAAATATGCAAGTTTGCAATCTCTTTTTCAAGTGACATTTTGGCGGCTTGGACCTCTGAATATTTGCTGTTCAGCTCTGTGTAGCTCTGGTCAACATGATTGTATCTCTAGAAAACAAAATGAAAACCAATGACTAGGATTTTCAAATTAATAGAAAGAAATTCAGTTTTAGTGAAATAAAATATCACTAAAGTAATATTGTATTATAATTCTACTTTCTCCTCTATTAGTAAGTTAGTGAGCATGTGCATTATACTCTGCCATTGCCTCAAATAAATAATAGACCATTCTGTTTGGATTGCAAGGAAAGACAAAGGAAAAAGATATATCAGAGACACTATTTACATTGTTTGGACTGCTGTCTTAATCTTTAGTTTCAGCTGTTGTATGCTCCAGCTATCTTCAGGTGATATTTATTCAAATTTTGAACTAAACTTATTCTGGGTTCAGTTCAAAGTTCAAATATATATCATCTGAAGAAAGCCACAATGTACAATGGCTGAAACATTGTGAATGTGATAATAAAGATTAGGACAATAGTCCAAATAGTGTAAATAGTTACAATACTTTATTTCAGAATTATAGACAAATCAGAGACACTGTTTGGCTTTAGTGAGAAAAAGAAAGCAACATAGGAAAGAAAGAAATAGAAGATAGAAGAGGCAATAATGCTCTTATGCTTCAATGAAATAGAAAACCTTTTGCCAATTTTTAAACTTTTCATTTATACCCCCTTACTTCTTTAACTCCTTTCCCACCAATTATTTTGAGAAAAACGTTTCATTTTCAGACAAACTTTATTTGTTTTTAATATAGTAACCTTGAAGTACCCGAGCAGTGGCTAATACCTCTATTAGACATATGAGTTGACAATTGGACTTGTTTCAAGCTCTGAAGGGCATAAAAAGAATCAAGATTGACCTTTTAAACATGTCTGTAGCTGGTTTTTGAACATTATGTTTAGGATGTATTTATTTAAAAGTCACTTTCAGTAAAATCATATATGGACATCTATGCTAGGGAAGCAGTTAATTAATAACTTGGATTTGTACCTGTGATTGTTATTGCAATATTTTGTGAAAGTTGTTAAACTGTTGTAGAGTAGTTTCACAGTGGAGGCTTGCATTTGTACTAAGTTGGTCCTAAAATAGGTTCGACGTACAAAACGTTAGGAACTTGATATAATAGGTAATGATGCAGAGAAATCTAGTGGTGGTCGCTGATACTTTTAGTATCCGACTAACGGTTGTCCGACATCGACTGACCAACTCCCTGAGCGACTCCTACTACTCCTACTTATTATAGGTGGGAGAGTCTATTAACTATAGAATAGGTGTGTTCCACTATAACATAAACTCAAATATTTAATGATACAATAGATTCCCCCTCTTCCATGTTTTTATTTTAAATAATTGTGAAACTGACAAATAGCTTATTCAATAATTAAATTAAGAAATAGGATACATTAGAAAATGAAAAGGAAAACTGAAATTTTCACAGGTTCTGCAACTTTGTAATTATTGACAACTTTTGACATTATAAAAAACAATAGTATTTAGTTTATTTCAATGATATGTACCCAGACATTTAAAAATTACCAACATTTTCCATGTGAAAAAAGAAACTGATTGATTGTATAACGGTTGTCTGTTTATGAAAATGAAAATACAAATGTACAAAACTGATAGAAACAAGAATGAAGAAAAAAATCTATTGCAACATTTTTTGAATATAGGAAATTTCTCCTGGAAAAAATATTGAATATAAAAAATGTTTGATGAATAATTTTAAGTGGCTGCATTTGAGATTGCAGCATGCTGAATAATTTCTAACCTCAATAGAATAAAAAGCTACAATTCTCAGCATTTCTTTGCTTTAATATTTTCACTTTGCTTGTTTTAGGTATTTCTTTTTTGCATTCAAGATCTTCTGGTTATATATATATATATATATATATATATATATATATATATATATATATATATATATATATTTAATCCTGTTTAAACCAGTTGAACCATTAATTTGGTCCTTTATTATCATCTGTTAAAATAGTAACCTAATTCCAATTTTTCTTAGTATCTAGGTATTTAAAATGAATGGTAATTTCTTAGAAAAGTCCAATATTAATTTTACCAAGCTCTCATTAAAAACTAATAGAAAATAACAGTTAATAACTTAAAATAGAATAAAAAGCAGCAATAGTGATTGCATTTTTTTTTTTTTTACAGATGAATGACCAAAATATTCATGAAAAGATTATTGTAATTTCAATGTTTAAATGTAGGAAATTAAAAAAAAAAACTCCATTTGCAATATTAGAATAGTTTTCACTTGACCAATGAGGAAATTGGGATTGTACACATAGGTACATTAGACCCTGAAATAAAAAAAAAAATATTCTAGAAAAAATACTTTTGCTTTACTCTATGAAACCTTTAAGAGTGGACAACATTTTTATCCCATTAGCTAGCAGACAATGCATAAAAACCTAAAATGAATTTACCCAATATATTTTATTTATATTAAAAAAAAAAAAGAGAAAGAAACTAAACATGCACAGTAGATTCAGGTTGGTTAAACCCAGGAATACCATTCTAGGGTTATAGTAAACAGGAAACAACTAATCATTTTTTTCTTCAGAGGAATCATGAAGTGATGACTTTTCAGTAGATAATCTGTTAAAAATAGTATTTTTTTTTGACGAATCTGATTTAGATAAGAAAATTAACTTGTAATTTTAAGAAAAATCTCTCAATAAATTTTATGTGTAATAACTGCTCAGGATTAATTTTTTTTCTGCTGTTAAATGAAAAATAACACATATTTAACTATTTTAGCATCTGAAGTGTTTCCAAATGGTTGCTATCTCCAAAATATAAACAATGTTTAAGAGAAATCTTGCGCTTAAAATGTATAGGTATATTAATTTCATATTTTTAATAAGTTTTTCTCAGAAACAGCTATCCTATAGTAGCACATGTAAAATCAAGGGGTTCATTTTTTTTTCCTTTATGTATACAGAAAAAAAAGCATACTAACAGAGAAAGTAACAAGTGTGAATTAAGGGCACAGTGACATATTGGATAATAAGATAATTCATTACATTGAGCATGTTTATTGCACTGCAGCTGATAAAGATTTCTATAAACAACATTGGATGTAATAAAATATTGCTTCCATTTATTTAGACAATTTAGTCATTTTGTGACTGATTCAACAGCCACTTAAATTTCTTGTTCATGTTTTATCTTGAGCCAACAATTATTTTAAAATAATTGAGTTCTAGGCAAGATTTGATATTTACAACTTCCCCACACATAAAACCTAAATTATTAAAATGAATCGAAGATATTCTGAATTACCTGAGAATTTCATACAAAATGATTTTAGTCCCAAGAGACTGATACGGGTATATTTTCCCTAAGTGTCAGAAATGTATAACTTATAGTTTGGATTCAAAAGCAAGAGCAATGAAGCACTCAAATTGTCAGCAGTGCATATCTAGAAAATTTAAGTATCCAGATGAATTCTTTTCACATTTGGACACATTCCTTTTGAAAAGTATGAAAAGAACAGTTGCTCTTGGTAGCATTCAAAATAAACTGACATCTATTTTGAAAAGTTGATAAGCATAAAACAGACTGTTAATGTAACATAAAAACATAAAAAAATGTTATGTTGCGTGTGTGTGTATATATATATATATATATATATATAAACATGTGATCATATCAATAACAATGAGAATCCTTATCCGAAAATTTTATCCGGCATGTTAGTATTTACCATATTTTATACAGTCAAAAAGATTACTGCATTTGGCACTACACAGGGCACTAAATTTTGCATAAAATAAGCTGGAAAAATAAAAGGAGATTTTTCAGAGCATGTCCAAGATTCAAGTGAAGGAGATTCATAAGGAAACTTAAAAAGTGCCTCTTGTATAATGGAAAATAAAAGGTAAGTCATCACATAGATGACCATTTTTCGCAGTTATTACAATGAGAGACTATTTAGACAGTGTTAGTTCACAGAATACCTGCTAGTATTTACATTTGCATTCTGTTGATATTGTTTGAGGTAAAGAGAAGATAATTGAACTAACCTACTTCAAAGATCAAAGCTTAAATATATGATATATCACCAGTCAGCAAATTTCCAGTGGAATGAATAAAGAAAAGTCAAATAATTTACTTACTTGCTGTAATTCAGAACAGGTTTTCTTTAATCTATTTACATTTTCACTATCAAAACGCATTTTCTCTTCATATTCTTGCACCTGGAAAAGAAAAAAAAACAAAAAAACACTGACAAATTTTTACATCATATTGTGCATGTGTGTGAGGATGCTGAAAAAGTTCTTGGCTCACCAAGAAAAAATTATAATAATAATAAACCTAATGTGGGTCAGATCTTGGGAAGTGGGTCAGGTCAAGTACTTCTGACCATTCATATGTGTTATATAAGCATTATTGCTACAAACCCAAAACATTAACTTGAAACTTTCATATGGTTGTCATGCATGGCACCAAAACCATCTTCTGTATACATGTGTTTTCTAAGATCAATGGTTAAAAATGGCTTTAAATGAGTGAAGTCTATGGTACTTTCTGAAGAGCATTGTTCTTTGGAACTTGTGGACTGAAACTACAGAATCAGAGAACTGTACTAGATAACAAAAACTACATCACTTGAGGACTTTCAACAGCAGCAACAACTAAAATGGATATCATATGCAACTTGAAGAGAAAATAATAACATAGTCAAGATGTTGATATGCTACACTACTTAAAATAAAGTTTAGGATGGAAACCCCCATAAATGGTGGAAAGTGCAATAACAATTACTGGACTTCAGAAACCTATTTTTCTGGAAAAACTGCTTTAATAGAGAGATTTTATAAATTTCAACCAAAAATAACACTGGCTGCCCAGTCAATGAATGTTGTATGTTCTGTTATAGAGATGACTAATATTACCATTACTATATGCATTCTGTTGTCAAGAAACAGTTCATTTAGAAACAGTATGATATTGTTTTATTTTTCAAATGTATTACTCAGAATCACATAAAAAGTCTGCAAGTTTTAGGCATGAAAATAAGTTTAAAACATTAAAGATTTTATTTCTGCAAGGTTGGCTGTCATGAATAAAAACATATCAGTGTAAATAAAAATTAATCTTATTTATAATTAAAAATATTCTAATTTTAGTTATATGAATATCTATAACCTTTAATGAACACCAGTTAAGCGGACAAGTTTCTTTGCTTTAAAACTATTGAGATGGCTTTGGATTAACTTATTTCGAAGTGACATTGTCATTTAAAATAAAGTGGCTTAATCCATTGAAATATTTTGTAAACCTCTGCTGTATGTACATTATATATTTGAAAAATGATTCTTCTTGTGTAAATCTAATTATTTTAGAACCTTTGGCAATGGGTCAAAATAATTAGAGCTAAAGAGTAAAAGAAAATAAAAAATAAATTAAAAAATTTAAAAACCGTAAATGATTGTGCAAGTGGAAGCTGGCTGCCATCAGAACACACACAAAGAAAAGTGGGCCTTAAATTATTTTATCTGAATCTAAAGTGTGCTGTTTATACAGCAAAAAGTAAAATATACACAGCAAGACCTTCAAAGTGGTGACTCACTGACCAAAATGAAATTAAATAGATAAATAAAACAAAAACTTTGAGAACAAGTGACACTTGGCAAGAAATTAGACAGTTCTATTCATAGGCTTATATGAACAATCAGAGTTAGAATTGAAGGTAGTTCCAATGCAAGCCTGCTGGCAGAGTAAAGACTATCCATCAAGAATTTAGAACCACCCATTAGAGAGTTATGAGGTCATAATGTAGAGGTGAGGAGAGAATGGTAGAAGAGCCAGAGTTCTTATCAGCCAAAGGAAAGATCATATGTGAGTCTGGTATGGACAGATGTTCCAAGTATCACCTATCTACCTCCCAGATCATGCAAGTGAATCCCTGAATGAGCCACTCAATGAATTGAAAACAGGATTCACCTCTTTATTTCTTGTTGTGGCAATATTTTCACTGTCTGTTCCCAGTCTTTGTGCACACCAATACAGACTTGAATCAAAGAGTGATTTATCCAATTGATTAAAGACAGAGAGGGACCCTGGGTATGTTATGCAAGTCTAAATGATAAACTGAATACTTACTTTTTGTTCTAAACTTGCTATTTTGTCTGTTGTTTGAGTACTGTTACTATGCAAGGCCAATCTGTCAGCCTGCTCTTGCTGTAGTTGCTTTTCAAGGGTTTCATATTCTTCTTCTTTCTTCTTACGAAGTTCTGCCTCTGTTTCATACTTCCTGGAAGCCTAAAAGAGGATGAAAAACATTCAATATTACAATCAAAAGCACCATCATCATAACCAAGTTTTTTTTTTGTTTTTTTTTGGAGACAGGACTGGGATTAATCTCACACAAAGCAAGATAGGTCCTGCCTGACAGAGGATCTCAGCTTACCTCTCCACATATGGCTATCAACATACTGAGACCTGTCATAATAATTTGAGACATAGTTTTACAAAGCTGGATGCTCTTCCTGACACCCAACTCAGACACTCACAGTAGCCAAAGTATACTGAGTGTTTTTATCAAGAAGCCATCTCTATGAAGATGGCCATTTAAGGCTTGAGAACCCATCCAAAAAAACACTAGAATGCTCAAGAATAAATGACAACAGTATATGTCTAGAAAACCAAAAGTCAAAATGGGTACAATTGAAAGAAAAGAGGAAAAAGTTTAAGAAGTGAGCATAAAATGAAAAAAACAATAAAAAGGACAAATAACCACAAATATTCTACATGTATGCATAGGCATGCACACATACACTATAAAAAAAAAAAAAATAAATTAAAAAAAATTGCACCAGTGAAAAAAAAAAAAAAAGAAAAGAAAAATTGAGAAGTATAAGCAGTCAATTGCTGATAACCCCTGGAAAGTGGACGAAGTGATTCCCAGAGTGTCCATCTATGAAACTCTGGAGTCAGGATGCTGAAGGTAACATCAATCAACTAAGTCACAAACCTTTTACTTGTATTAATTATATATATCTTGTTTACTATCAAATAGAGTAGTTTATTACATTAGTATCCTAAGAAGAAATATGAAATAATTGTAATAATTTAAGACAATGAAAATGTGTTTATTATAATATTTCATAAACTAATGTTTTATCACAGTAGAATAGTAGTGTTACCAACCTGTTCCCAAATTAAAATGTGAGAAATTTAACAGTATATTCTCTTACAATTTAAATAACTTGAATATTTTGATACATTATTAAATATAATGTAATAATTTTAAATATTTTCACATTGTATTTGAAAAATTTGAACTTTTAGCTTAACTTGAATAGTAAGAAATTGGACAATAGTCAATCAAGAATTCCACATAACACTATGGATTTAAATTTGGAAGTGAATTTATATTTCTAGTTTGCTACACAATCATACAGATTTGCTCTGTTTAAGCTTAAAGAAATTTAGAATATGTGTAGGGACAGATCTCACATGGAAATTTAACAACAGACATTTTTCTTCCATTTTTTGTATTTGTTATATTAAATCATTCTGATTGGTTAGATTCAAATTTTGTGCATACTGAACACAAAGTAGAACTGATTAACTTAAATTTCAATTGTTCATTCAAAATTACCTCTTTCAAATCATGTTTTAACAGGCCATTATTTCTTTCCAAGGCACGGTTTTCTCTACGTAGAGCAGCTTCTTCTGCAGATAACCGATCCAATTCCTTCATAGATTGCCTACAAAAGCAACAAAAGAGATTCAATAATATTCCATCACAACAGACTAGGCTTCAACCAAACAATGTTCTAATATTCAGTATTCAATAATAATCTCATCTCCATTTCATTTTTTTTTTTTTTTTAACAAATCCCGGAATGTTATTATTTTGTTTTGTTTTTTTTTTACCAATTTCATATAGGGTTTCTATCAAAATGATTTCAGCTTCATTGCTTCTTTGCCAATTTTTCTTGAAATCAATTGCTCACTAGAAAACATCAAGTATTCATTTCACTTGGCTAACACACATTTACTTTCCTTATGACTAATTAAAATTGGATTTAAAAGAAATTATTTTTCTCCAGAAAATCTCAGAAGTACATTTGAATCCTTGATATGAACATAAAGATACTTGCAGATTGTATTTAAGTAAATATGGAAAGCTGTTAATGATACAGATTTAATAATTTCTCATGGAGATAGAATAGTAACAGTGTTGTTTAATCAAGATTATTAAAAACTAGCAGTCGAGCCCGACATTGCCCAGGGATGTAACAGTAAGAGATAGATCAAGTATCGACCATCATAAAGACTGAAAAATAAAATTGACAAAGATTATTGTTTAAGGTTGATGGACACACATGTCTTAGTTTTTTTTGTTTTTTTTTTATGAATTGGTCAAACCCAAACTCAAACAAAAACATTGTTTTCACTCGTTATGAGTCTACCAATTGAATAGAATTTTATTATAAACAATTGTCTTGTAAATGGAATTTTTAAAGCATTCTGAATGTAAAAATAAAGAAAAAAGTGTGCAAGACAATAAGAAACACTACCTGCAAAAAAAAAAAAAAAAGTGAAATTTTGTTGAAATCAGTTGAAAAATGTAGGAAATCCAATCCCATATATAAACGAACACAGACACACACAAACAACCTGGGTTTTATAAGTATAACTCGATATGAGTTGTCCCCCTTTCATTCTCACAATAGTGATGCCTCTTAATCATGTTTTCAAATTGATTACGTGCAAAAACAATTGTGTTTTTCCAATTTTTGGCGCTGTCAGAACCACTGCAAGGTAATTTTACGTAGTCCTGTGAAGTTTTGTTGAAATTGGTTGAAAAATGTAGGAAATCCGATCCAATATATAAACGAACAGACACACACACACAACATGGGTTTTATAAGTATGATTCAGATGTTATTTAGAATTAAATTTTGACAAACTAAGTTTATACCAAGTAATTTTTTTTTTTCATATTCAAAACTTAAACTTTATTTCCAAAGGTCACCCAAATGAGAGGTCATTCAAAGACATCCAATACTCAAAAAATTCACAATTCATGTTTTATAGGCAAATGCTTTCTTTTTCCAGCTAAATCATTTATTATTTTCATAATACTAAAGAGATTGTCTATAAAAGAAAAAGAATATAACATATTATGAAGACTACAGGTTTAATGAAAAGAAAAAAAATCTTTTTAAGTATTAAAAAGAACCTTAAAATCTCACAAATATTTACAAAGATGTAAGCAAGATTAAGTGAAGGCAAGTTTATTTCATTTACTTGTTACAAGTACTGTCCACAAAAAGGTTCCATATATTAAATTCCCACAATAAATAAATAAAAAAAGATAAACTTACGTATATTTTTGTTCCAGTTCATCTCTGACCAGACGATCAGCCCGTTGCTGTTCCTCAATCTGTTTCGATCGAGAATTAGGCTCTGCACTCTAATGAATCATAAAAAACAAAAAGCAATACAGTAACCACTGAGCTATTTTGTAGTTTGTCTAATTAGTGTTTATATGTCTCCATGCCTCTCTATTTCTTATAAACACTGAGAAGCAGGAGGATAAAGAATTCAAAATGTTAGCATTTTTCTGTAACGTTAAGAAACAAAACAGTTTTAGGAATAACAGTTATTTTTATAAAAAAATGAAATTAATGTATTACTCGCTGCTTTCAAGTTCATTATTAAATTATAAAAAGAAAAAAACTATACATGTTGGAAAAGCAATTACAATACTTGGCTGTATGAATGCACATATTCAAGTGAAAAAGAAAATGTGGTTGTAATTATAAAAGTATCTAAATCCAAGCTTAGCAATGAACAGTTCCTTTGTTTGCCTATTGGCTGAAATGTTGTCGGACAAATATCATAAATGCCACCACCAAAATAGCTTCCCATTCCAAAAAAATACAACTGTTTTTAAAATAGTTATTTTATAATATAAATTAGGATTAGTAAAACAAGCAAAATATATATAAACTTATTGTGCCAATTCTGTTTGCATTAATTCCTTACTACTGACAAAATGTCTTTTTCAATGCATTTTCATACTAAATTCATGAGCAATATATTTACATTACATATATAACAATAACATTCTGTCAATGCTAGCATTAATTCCTGACCACTGACAATCTGTTTTCCTTTCATTTTACAATATACAGATTGGATACTGAAACTTGTAAAAATTATCACAATGATGCTGTATCATCAAAACATTTTCTCTACTAGTAGAAAATGAAAAAAGTTGAGAGGTAGAGTAGCAGTAAAGCCAGTGGGCAGCAAAAAGAAAATTAAATTTTCTTCATATATCAAGTTGAAATGCAATTAATCTTAAAATAAAACCAATATTATGGTTTCTTTTTTTTTTTCCTATGCTAAAATCTGCTGTGTTGATATTTAGGTAATCATTATAATGAAAGAAAGTTTTGATTTGCTTAATAATCATATATAAATTCTACCAGGTAATATAGACAGCTAATACTTATATAATATACAATTTATATAAATATGCTAACATTCACAAAATTATAATTCATTGGTATTTAACAATATTTTAAAAGGAAATATAATTATATTAAAGTAAAATGACTATCTTTAAAATTTAAACTATTATTTTTTTAAAAATTCTAACCAACTCCAGATTAAAGAAAAGGTACAATGGCATGTGTGTATAAATTTTCTATTTTTATTTATCAATCTGACACATTTGAATCACTTTAAATGTTATTTTTAGTGGATATACATATTTGAGTAGACACTCCATTTATTTGTTAAACAGCATAATTATTTATTTTCATCTACCAGCCTGAATATTCGAGAAATCTCATTAAGAAAACTATGCACTTTCAGCAAGATTTAAACCTGCATCCCTCCAGATAGAGGGAAACAGTTGGCAGCAGCAGCATATTTCATATATATATATATATATATATTATATATATATATATATATTGTAATGATACAATATGGTAAACCATATGGAATTTCCAGGAGGATATAGATTCAGGGAGAGCTCTATGTCAAAAGACAGAGCAAAATTATTATTACTTAAAGAATATCAAACACTTAAAATCCTATTTTGTAAGTCTTGAAGATTGAGAGCTGCTTTTTTCGAGCTCTCATAAAATAAAAATTATTACCTATGGGATTTTAAGTATTTGATATTCTTTAATTAATATATATATATATATATATATATTCTCTTTCATTTAGCCAAAACAGAAAGTTATGGGCCTTAGATTTTTTTAACTGAGATACATTATAATTTGTGTGTGAAAACGTGTTTTGATATAAATGTTATTTACAGTGTGAGTGGGGTATATATTGCAGTGCCTATGAAAATTATTTAATCCTAGAAAAATAAAGAATTTAAATAAATATTTTACAAATACAATACATTTTAAAAAAAAAAAGAAAAATCATAATACATTTTTGTTATTGAAGAATTTTATCCATTTTCCACTTCAGCAATATAACCAACAAACGTGGATGTGTTCAACATTTTGATACTATTAATAATATTTTTTCACTGTAACAATGACAAAATGTTTTTGCTATTGAAGAATTTTCCATTTTTGCAACATAACCAACAAACACTTGATACTATTAATATTTTTACAGCATTTTGATTTGCACACCATCATATTTATAGCTTTTACCGATATAAAATGCCATCAGTCACTAAGTGTGTAAATGTGTTAATACTATAATAAAAGAATACGTGTTCAGAAAATAAAAATTTAATTTTAGGTATACACACATAATGATAACACCAGAAGATTAAATTTGGTTACAATAATTAATAATGAACTATTAATTATTTTCCACTGAATTACACAAGCAATTAAAGGAAAAGCTAACATTGAGCAGGTGTTATGTCAGCACAGCACACAGTAAAAATTTTTCACAAAAAAAAAAAAGAAAAGAAAAAAAAGCAAATTATAATCTAGAGAAGGAGAAAAACTGGTGAAAAAATGGATGCCAAGGTTACAGTGGGTGGAGCTTGTAGCAGAGAGGACAGAGGTGGGGGGGTAGTACATTGCTGCAGATTATCACCCACTAACAAGGACTATCAGGTTACAAACTCATATCAGAGACCTTTAAGTTCTGAGAAGACTAAACTATTTGACTTCCTGAATTTGAAAAATTTCCAGGCAGCATCTTGGTTCAGACAGAAATTAATTGTGGCTTTTCAAAAGAGCCAAGTTTAAATGATAAAGGCATACTTGTTCATCTTTGGCAAAACAAGGTCATGATTGGGTAATTGTTGCTTGTAAAACAAAATTTAAAAAGTACATTAGAAAATTACTAGCCAAAGATTATGTAAGATTATGATAAAATGTTTAATATTTAACCAAAGATAATTACTACAGTCTATATATTGTACTTTCAATGAATGCAAAATTTTAAACATATATTTGAATATATGGTTGCCAACAAAAGTAACAGTCCAACATGCAAATTACAAATTGGGGATGACAAAATCAAACAAGTACAACAATTTAAACATCTGGGAAGTGTTTTAACAGAGCACAGAAAGTGTTACACTAAAATCCAAAAGTGCATTGGAACAGAGAAAGATAAGTTCCAAAAGCTAAGCAAGTATTAAGAAACAGGAAAATCTTGCTAGAAACAAAGAAGAGTGTTATTAGTCTTCTTATATGGCAGTGAATGCTAGACAATCTCCTCATAGATGAAGAAGAAATATGGTTCTACAGCAGGATGCTCAGAAAAACCATGAACTGAAAATATGAGCAACAACAAAAGTTTAGAGAAAATGGAAAGAAAATGGACACTTATACTTAGCAACTGAAAGAGTCGAATTTTCTAGAGCACATAATGAAGAAAGAGGGCTTAGAAAATTTGACGCTCACAGGACAGATTGAAGGCAAGAAAGACAAAGGAAAACAGCAAGTAACCTATCTACTGGGCTTGAGTAAATGGATGGTGAAACAAAGTTATCAGAGAGATAACAAAAAGACAAAATTTATTTAGAACTATAAAGGACAGGAAATTGTGGAGAACCATGATCACCAATGTCATAAAGAGACATGGCACATAGATATCAAAGAGAGATAATTTTTAAAAGGTTTACCAAAAGTAGTAACATACACAATTTTAATGTAACTTAAGACATCAAAATATTTACAGCATTTATAGATTTGCTATGAAAAACATTTAAAATTAACAATGTAGTTTGCAGATACTAAGTATTCATATCTATCAATATATAACTCTCAATTCTAAAGATAGATTTTGTTTAAATATTTATCTGCATTTTTATATGTGATAATAAAATAAGCACATTCAATCGCTCCTCTCACATATAACCAACAACTATAATAAAATGAACGTTTTCAGTGCTAAAGCTGAATTACTCAAATAAAGCTTCATAAGTTTCTACTTAGTGTTGTTGCTATATTACAATATTCTTCAAATGTTTACTGAATTTTTTTCATTTGAAAACCTACAAAAATATTCAAGTCTTCATATTTGTTGTTCTTTCTTGTCACATCCAATATTTGTATTTCCGCAGTTTGCTACATCATTTTTTTTAATATATTTCCGATATAATAATGAAAGTACAATTTTTTTTCCCCACTTCTTCAAGCTTTTCTATAAAAAATAAACCCTATATCAACCCTATCTTTTATTCTCATTTACATTATCTTATAATTCTGATTGTCTATCCCTTAGCATGACCATTCAGCCCTGCCATAAATAATGGATTATTCTGTTTTGATTGCATGGAAAGACAGAAAAGACATCAGAGATGCTGCATGGTTTCAGTGAGAAAATAAAAGGAAGGGTTTAATATCACTTTAGTGAAATGGAAAAAGTTGTCAATTTCAAATATTTTCATTTGTACCCACTTACTTCCTAGCATTCATATTTACGATTATTATTGTAATATTTTGTTATTAAAGTTGTTAAGCTAAAATATTTAACAATGTGGCTGGATTTCTAAAGATATTTTATTGTTGTAGAATTCACCATGAACTTGTTCAATCATTAACTGAAGAATCAAGATTCATCAGAAAATTCAAATAGGAATATGGTTTTCTTAGTGAACAAAATATGAATTGCCAATAAAATTTCACTTGATAAGAAAAGAAAAAAAAAGGCTGTTCTCTACATTTTAGATTTAATGAGAAATCATTTCCAAACTGGAATCCATTTAATCATTTTTAACATACCTTATGTACATTGAAACTGCAACTCTAAATTAATGACTAGTTTATCTTTCTACATAATTATAATTATGTAGACAAAGTTTAATGTGCATATACAATTTTAAATATACTCAGTCTAACATGTACAAAACAAGACATTTTTATTTAACAGAGTTTGTAGTAATTACAAATTAATATTAATTGAACAAAATTAGTAGAAATAATAGATATTAATTTCATCAAAACCAAACTGATATTAATAATTTGAAATAATGAATACTTACTCCACTTGATGATAATAAAGAATCATAACTGAAAATGAAGAAAAAGAATTTAACGACTAATAACAAAAATGCTTAAATAACAATAAAAATACTAAAATGATTTCATGCAAAATAGGTAAAATAATTAAAAATAATGCCAAAACTGAACCGTCTACATAAACAGAACAAATAGTAAATATACATTTATAAGAAATATATATTGACAAGAGAAAAAAATATGAGAAAAAATACAAGAAAATAATCCAGTAATTTGAGCCATCACAATTTCATGCAATTAATTTAAATTTATTGACATTACAAAATACAGGGTAAGGCAGAAATATCTCCCACAAAATAGTACCATTTTAGATAGATGAATACACCATTGCCACTTGTCTAAGCTCACTAGCACCACACAGGTGATAGTTTTAAATGTGGGAGGTATTTGTGTTGCACACAGTATATACTAATTCACCAACAACTGAATTTTTAATCAACTATGCCAAACAAACTTTCCAATAATTTTTTTTATTATTAAATCAATTTTATTTTACAAATCATAAAATTAATGCAATATTAATAATCCTATATTTTATAAACCTTAAATTTATGTATTCTGTATGTGATTTTATAGAATATTAATGAAACAAAGAATTTGCAAACAAAAAACAACCTTGTAAAGCTATTATTAATGCATAGTCTTGTTTGGACAATCTTAGAAATTGATAGAGTTCCTGTATATAAAATAAATACCATTTGTTTTTAATAGCGCACATATCTGTCATAAAAACAAAACTACACATTAAGTTGCTCTGAGCTTTTACAGATGACATATCATTATGATGTATGGATTTGCTATAATAATATAATATTGTGTGCATATAAAATACATTTTTTAATTTTTTTAAACAGCAAATTGTTAAATTAGAAATTTCAGGAATACTTTTAGTTAATATTAGTATTTGAGAAATGATTCCTCAACTAATTTTAAGTTTGTTTGTTTTTTTTTTGGGGGGGGGACTTATAAACCCAGTGATCAGTTTTATCACTGATTATATAGTTCAGCTGAACACACTTTTTACCTTATGAATATAATAAGGTTTGTGTTTGCAATTACAGTTTAATAAGCAAAAGTTATTGCAATAACATTGCATCTATTTTACTTGAAAATATTTTTGAAAAAAATTACGAAAAAAAAGAAGAAGAAAAAGCAGCAACAAAATAAAAATGACTTACTGAAAATCTCGATTATATGTAAAACCAACAAATGGTAAGTGGTTGCCTGCAAAAGCTTTCGGTACTTGGAACGTCTCTGGAACAGCATCATCTTTTTCAATCTCATCAAAGTTGCTTGTGTCCACATCACAGGCAAGCTCTGGCACAACAGGCGGCACAGCTAAAAATAAACAAGGAAGAATGAAAGTGAATCGGTGCGAGTTAGAGATATCGTGAATGGATGACACTAATAAAAAGGGCTACAAGCTATAAAAGGGGCATCATTAAGGACAACACTTAAGAATGAACACTTTAAGCACTTGGAAATAATAATTGAATTCAAGTAAAAATGCTTCTAAAAAAAAAAAAAAAAAAAAAAAAAAATTATTTCTATGTAAATGTAATTAAAATTTAAAAGAGAAAGAATTTGCTACATACAACTATAAGAAACATGTTAGATTTTTGTTAGAAAATTTCTCTTTGTAGATATACAAAAAGGAATTGGAGGGAATTCATAATGAAATAAAAAATTTAAAAAATGTAAGACAAAAATAGACATTTACTTTACTCCTTTCAAATATACTTATGTAAGATTTATTTCAAAGAAAATGGGAGAAATTTACTTGTATTACCAAAGAGAAAATCTTTCATAATTATTGCAGTTTTCTTTAGATTTTAATTTAAATTTATTTTATAGTGAAAAATATTAATCTAAAAGCCTTTTTGCAAAATAAAATCAAGACAATAGCCATAATATTTTACTCTTATGTACATATTTTTTATCTATATTTTACTCTTCTTTGACTACAGATGTACATATTTCTGATTTGTATAAACTGTCAGATTATGACGCAGCACTTACCACATTTGATTGACATCTATTATTTCTACTTATAAAGTTTGAATATTTATTCTAAATATTTGTGCTTATAAATAAAAAGTATTCTTTTGGATAGCCTTAATAGATAACAGTTTTTTTTTTATATATAACAAGAGTGACTGGTGTATATGTATGCATATATGTGTTGTATTTATCAAGGAAAAGTTCTCAATATCAAATATTGTGTGTATACACACACACACACACACACACACACACAGAGGGTGCAATGGATAAATTGTTGTAAATTACACAAAAATGAAATTACCATTGACATCTCATGTTAACAAATATATTTACCAAAATTACCCAAAAATACTAAAAAGTTAATTTATTGAATAAAATCGCCATTGGCTTCAACTACACCCTACAGACATCTTCAGAATCTCCCGAACAGTCTCCTTGAAGTTGGTGAATACTGCTATAATCCTTGCCTTCAGTTTATCTTTGGTGTTACAAGGAGTTTCATTGGTCTTTCACACAACTGCCCCTCCCCCCACACACACACATAATAATCAAGGGGGTTGCAGTCTTCAGAATTAGGAGGCCAGATATAAGAGGTGATGTGGTCGCAGAAATTGCCTGAGAGCCATGAGTGGGTTCTCTGCTTGTGTAGCATGGTGCACAGTCCTGTTGCCAGAAATAGGGTTTTCCAGCAGCCACCCTCTTGACTCAGGGCCATACTAACTCCACAAGGTACTTGATTTAGGCTCTGTGGTGATTTACAATTACACCGTGTGTGTGTATAAGAAAAATGACTCAAAGAAAGAAAAAAAATTCAGATTAGCAGTCAATATAGGAATGACTTGTAATGAAAAATGTGTGCAATTGTTCAGAATTTATTTGTAAATAGATGCAACCATAAGTTCTATGCTAACAGCTTCTTCCTCACATTTTTTCATTTGTGGAACTCCTTCCAGCTTCTAGTCTTCCAGTTAACATTGATCTTCAAAAATTTAAATGTAACATCAATCATTACCTTCTGTTTTCTTAACTCCTGTTTTTTTATATATATATATATATATATATATATATATATATATATATATATATATGCTACCACTTAGTAATCACAAAATAAATAAATAAATAAAAAATAGAGGACATTACAAACTTTTTCACAATTTATCATTTTTGCAATGATAGCAAATTCTAAAGTTGAATTACCATCCTAACTGCCATACATTTTTGTCAACACAAGATGTGTAAAATACAAAACAAATAAGAATAAGTATCTATTTTATTATAGCTTTTATATTTCCATGAATTCAAAATATTACAATGCTATTATCCTTGTAAAACAAAATTATTCTCAGAATAAAGACAAATTATTTTAAATTTCTGTCTGAATTTCTGGGATGAGGAGCCATCACTATTTACATTCAGACTAATGAGCCCATCTATGTTGTTATCTGGTAGTAGAGACTTTTTATATCACTTTGTATATAACAGATATCAAAAACTGATAATTCCAAAGATAAAAAGGTTTAACCTTTAGCATTCTTCATTATTAATATTACTTTCCTTCCTACTGAATTCTTTTTCAAGGCCTCTCAATTGCAGTATTCTTACTGTTAGTTTAACTCAAAGTTGTTTTCTCTTGCCATAGCAGGATACAATAACACAACTATGAAAATGAAAAAATACTCTTGTTCCAAGATCAGTCACCTTCGGTGGCAGGATAAACTTTTTGTACAGCAAATGAAGTCACATACAAAGTGATAAAGGCTAATAAAAGAAAGTGATAAAGGCTAATAAAAGAAAAAAAATAAAAGAAGAGAAAAAGACTTTTCTGTATTTCGAAGAAATGTGTGCACGATAGATTTAATGAAGATCCAATGATATCCAAATGTCCAATAACGTCTTTAAAAAAAAAACTAAAAAAAAAAACATTTTCTGCAACATAGTGGCAATATCTTCTACATATATTACTAATTTAAAAACTAATATTACTTTTACTGTTTATATTATATACATAAACACTTTAACTAAGTAAAATATGTTCTTTGTCAATCAGAGAGAGAGGTGGTCAGATATATCTCACTATAGATAAACAGAAAGCTGAATTTAAATGTTTTTGCAGTACTGCTTGGTTACCTCCATTATCAGTAATGTAAATAATTCTACCAATTATCTATTAGTTCTTGATTAGTATATTAGTAATGCAGAAATTGAAGCAACAAGTAATAAACATGGTTATTTTAAAATCAAGAGATTGCACTTTTTAGGTGATGATTTATTACAGATCCTTTCATTTTGACAAAATCCTTAATACATGACACAAATGAGATTATTTTTTGTTATTTTATTTCTGCTTCACAAAGAAAATGCAAATTAAAACTAATATAAAATTACTAGTTAAATATCAAATTAAATTTCAGATGTGTATAAAATGCTTCCTGTGTGAATGTAAAAGTAGTCAAAATCTGATAAGAAAAGCATTAGTATTTATTTTGTAAATTAAAATCTGAATCACTAAAAGCCAACTTCCTCTACAGTAATTACTTCTGATGAGAAAGAGAGAGAGAGAGAACAAACAAACAGAGAGAGCAATATTTAAAAAAATTCTGATGATCCTAAGTACAGTATTTTAAAAATCCTTCCACAACTGGAAAAAGACAAAAAGGTCAAAATTTACAGACTTAGCAAAATGAATTACATAAGCTAATAATCAGAGAAATGTAAAAATAAAACCTATTTATTAAAAACTAGCAGTATGGCCCGGCATTGCCCGTGCTCAATTCAAAAATTGTACAACTCATACAGCAATTGCTATCACTTGACTTAAAATATTTTTGCCCTTCCTTGCCTTTAAAGGAGTGCCCTTTGCTGTGCTTATGTTGCTACATGCCTTACTTCTTGCCTATCTCACACTGTGAATTTTTTCTAAGCTCTATACTAAACATTAAATCTGTTATGAAAAAAGAACTAAACAAAATGAACACAAAACGATCAGCTTTAAAAAAAGGACTCGTAACTGGAAGAACCAAATGAAAAAAGAATGTCAACAACAAATACTTTTTCACACCCAACCCAGTTCTGCAGAATCAGAATCAATGTTGAGTTTAAGCAAGCGAATGAGCCAATTGGAGTAAAGTGCCATGCAAATTTAAATTTTTCCCACTTGTGATGAATGCAGCTATTGATTTTTTTTTGCATGCTAGTTAACATTCGTGTCAGTCAGCTGTTGGCTCTCATGCTGGCCAATAGAATCTTCCTGCCTATTTGTGGCAGCCATCTATAGACTCTCACTCTGGCCAATAGAAAATGGCCGCAAACTACATGAAAACTGCTGTAGAAGCATGAAAAAATTGATTATTTTCACTATCGATGGGAGTTGGGAAATGCAAAGTCAGTCTTGGCCTTCCCGCTAACTTAGAGCATGTGCATGTAAATTTTGGTGCAAATCCGTCGAAAATATATACGAACAGACACACACACACAATCTGCGTTTTATAATAAGATTCCAAAGGGAAACAAAAACAAAACTTTAAAGCATTCAGTAGATATCAACTCTTGTGCATATTTGTTAAGTAAATGTATTTTTTGAAAATATAACTGGAAAGAGGAAAACAAAAAGCATAAACAAATCATAACATGATATACAAAATAAGTAGAAAGTTAACTTGATCACTTAAAAGATAAATAAAAATGTAAGTGTTTACAATACTACTGTCAATTACAGTTTACATTTAATATAAGAAAAAAGAATTGAAAATTAGTACATTTATTAAACTATTTTATTTAATATTACATTAATAATGAGTCTTTTAAGCATCCAAAACTTTCATAAATTGCACATCCAAATGGTAATGTTTTGTATGGCTAAAATATGACAATACATCAACCAATGAATTTTGAATCGCCATAAATGAACAAAGGGAGGTAACAAGGAAAGACAGACAGGAATTTACGATGCAGTTTTCCTTAAATTGTGAATATTTCTTAAATAAACCTGAATTGTGTAATATGTAGAAGCGCCCTTTCTTTTTTCTTTTTTTTAATTGAAAAATATTCCAATAATGAATAGTTTCCATAGTTTAGTTTGTATTGCATTTTAATTTTTTTGTTTTACTTCACATAAACTTGATATAACAATCTTGAATGTATCTAAAAATGAAATATGAAAAATGTCAGAATATCTCCAGCTTAAAAAGGCTAAATTAAATGGCTAAAAGCTTACAGATATTGTTCAGTAGGTAAACATACAGATTAACAAGGAGTTTAGATGAATGAGAATGACAGAAAAAAATAGATTGTATATATTGTGTATATATTCTACTTACTCTGTCTGATGGTATCCCAATCCCACTGATCATTCAAAAAGAATTCATGCATTTTAATTTCTTCCACTCCATTTCTACCTAATCTCACAGTCCTGAAAACAATAATGCATATTAATTATTTAATGACAAAATTTTTATAAAAATCATTTTAAAAGCTGAATTATTTATGATAAGAACATATCAAGATACATTCCTAAAATAAACCAGAGTTTTGAGGCTGAATATTAAATTGTTTATAAACCTACATCTAACTGGAAAAACTAGTTAAATACTTTTTCAAATCATTTAACTAAACACACAAAGGGAGCACATTGGATACCAATTTATTTTAAATAGAGAAATAAGTTAAATACTTAATGAGGGAAAAAAATCATTCATTTTTACACATGACAAAATGAAAAAAAGAAAATGAACAAAAATATTCAAGTCTTTATATCAAGATTGAGACATTTTGTTAAGCTCTGTAACTTAACTAAATGTGCCTTTAATGACTACTAGTTAATCATTAAGTATATTAAAATCAGAAATGAACACTAATAATGCATTAATATGAATGAGTTTATCTTAGTTCATAAAATGGAAGAATATATAAATTCCTATATATCAGAACAATAATAGGCAAGTGAATGACAAAGTAGAAAGATTCTTTGTAATACATTTTATCCTCTAGGACTTCAATTGACTAATGTTTTTATTGATGGAATTATACATGTGTGGGAAGGGAAGATATAACATTGCTTATAATTATGTACTGAAGAGAAAAGCCAAAAATGTGAAAACACTGATCTTTAAATTATTTCAGTTTAAATTTTTATTAAACATGGCTGAACATAAAGTCTAGACAATTTTTTCACCTTTCCTACACTTTTGTTTTTATCATTGTTTTTGATTATCCCACATTGTGATAACAAATCTGCCAAGAAAGATGAAATGTTATAAGAACATGGCTGCGAATTTTTTCCAGTTTGTCATTCAATTTTTTAACATAGTTCATGAGATATAATTATCAAGCATAGAATGAATCAAATGAATCTACTGACTTACTAGAAGCTGAAAAAAATTTCATTTTGTTTGCATGTAGGAGAATAAATATATGATAAATGCTCTCCAAAGCAAGTGATAAAGTACAGTAACTCAAATAGATATAAAAAAAAAAAATTAAAAAAATACTGAACTGAACAAATAGTTCAACAGTAATCAGAGTAAAAGTCTTTACCTGTCAGTAAGAAAGGCACATATCAAACTTTTAGCTTGTGCAGAAATTTCAGCATCATCAGGAAATTGCAGCGAGTTTTTATGATCCATAATTTTCCCGTAGGTACCAACGAGAGAATCAGCATAAAATGGGGTATCACCTGGTAGATGATTAAGATAGAAGAAAAAGGAAGAGGATTTCTCAATAGTTCAATAAATTTCAGTCATTAAGGATTTGAGCTCCAAACACATTCATCAAAGGACATTTGCACAACATTATCAGTTAAATGCAATACAAAATCAGGTTGGGTCTGATATTGAACATAAACATTAGTATTAATAGTAGAAATTTTTATTGAATAATTTATAACTTTAAGATGATTGAAGAGATATAAATTCTGTTAGATTGCAACTAAACACTGATTTAACCTGGAATTATTGTCATACTTGATAATAAATTATTCAAATTCACTGAAATGAATTTTAGGCTAACCCTTTGGATATGAAGAAAATTAAGACCAATATATACATGCATGTATATATATTTTTCCTTAAAATAAGAATCTTAAGACTAAAATGACTTGCAATTTTACCAAACTAACACATTTAATAATTTAATCTTTTTATGTTAATTTATTTTGTTTATTTTTTTTAAAGAGAGAAAGGAAAATACCTGAGGAACTTACCAACTAACATTTCATACAAGAAAACGCCAACAGACCACCAATCACATTCCCGACCATAATATCCATCACCACCTTGGGATTTAAGTACCTCAGGGGAGATGTAATCAGGTGTTCCAACAGCTGTGTCTGATCGTACCATAAAGTTCTACAATAAAAAAAATAAAAATCAACAATCTTATACAAATTGTATTATGACCATTTTCAGATTTGTTGATTGGAATTTGGGATATTAAAAATAGATCTATATTGGATCCACAAAAATGATTTCCTTGAAATTATTATAAATTTCTAATTGATGTTGTTCTTTTTTTGTGTGTTGTATACACTTTATAGAATTTTTAGTTGTCAAATATTTTAGTTTATTTATTTATTTTGTATCAAAGTTGATTTTTATTCTTTTGGATGAATAATCTCCATACAAATCAAGTTCTGCATCATCTGGAAATTGTCATAAACAAGAAAATAAAGAATATTAAGATTCATAAAATCAATTTGAATAAAAGTTTTTATAAGATCTGAAATAAATTTACAAAAAAAATAAAAATTTACAAACAACTTAGAGTTAAATAAAATAAATTAAAAAAAACAAAAAAAACTCTCAAACTCTTTGCACATAAAAGGATTTTTATGGATTATAAGCTTCATGAGATTCTCAAATATTTTATCAATGATTTCCATAAAGTATTATCAATAACTTTGTAATAATTAAAACCATTAATGTCATTAAATGAAAATTAATTTTTACAGCAAATAAAAGCTTTTAAGTTTACTTTGTCATCTCCAACCAACCAGAATATAAACTCCAACTTTTTTTAATTGGTTGATAGCTTATTTTCCACTAAGCCTATCTCTGAAATAAGACATGGTTTGGGCATTTCATCAAAAGTCATTATTAAAACTTGTTATGTGCTTAATAATTGTGTTATTTTCATTTCAGATAATTCACTTCAGATACAGACTGCAATTGAAATAACAACCTTTTATTTTTTGATACTACACCATATCAATAATAAATCGTATTTAGTTGGTCTTTAAACAATTTTGTGTCTACTTATCATATTTCATATTTTTCAATTATCTTAACTACTAACAAATTTTGACGTCATATGAAAAATAATATTCTGAGGTTTATAGAACCTTTCAACTAAAACAAAAAAACATTTACTTCTTTCCATAAAAGAAAAAAAAAAAAAAATATTTTTACAATAATGTTCACTCAAAGCAGACAGTTACAGATTAAGAGACACAATTAATGAAGATGAGTGGGAGAAGATAACGGTTAACCACAGACATGAATAAAATGTTTTAAATAAACACCTGGAATGATTATTTATTGCAATTATAACAAATCAAAAGCAATATCTACTGGATGAAGTGAATTTCAAAATATAAATCCTAATTAAGTGGGCATTAGGAGGATAATCTTAATAAGATTTCATCACAACTTGTATAATTCTGGCAAATGCAAAACTGCATCTATCTGAGATTCTTGTAATACATTAGGTTAAATTTTTAGGATATATTTATGATAAATAAACCATCAAACTTTCAGTTTATAATATTGTTTCCATTAGAAATATTTATGACTTATTGTTTCCATTAGAAATATTTATGACTTATTGTTTCCATTAGAAATATTTATGACTTATTGTTTCCATTATTTATGAATTGTTTCCATTATATTTATGACTTATTGTTTCCATTAAAATATTTATGACTTATTGTTTCCATTAGAAATATTTATGATTATTGTTTCCATTAAATATTTATGACTTATTGTTTTCCATTAGAAATATTTATGACTTATTGTTTCCATTAGAAATATTTATGACTTATTGTTTCCATTAGAAATATTTATGACTTATTGTTTCCATTAGAAATATTTATGACTTATTGTTTCCATTAGAAATATTTATGACTTATTGTTTCCATTAGAAATATTTATGACTTATTGTTTCCATTAGAAATATTTATGACTTATTGTTTCCATTAGAAATATTTATGACTTATTGTTTCCATTAGAAATATTTATGACTTATTGTTTCCATTAGAAATATTTATGACTTATTGTTTCCATTAGAAATATTTATATTAGACTTATAACATATTGTTTCCATTAGAAATATTTATGACTTATTGTTTCCATTAGAAATATTTATGACTTATAATATTGTTTTCATTAGAAATATTTATGACTTATGTGGTGGCTTGACATTTTTTTCATGCAACTAAAGGATTGTTCAATATATTGTAAATAAATATATTAGTATAGTTATTGATATTTATTTTTTAATTTAAGATTGACCACTTTTCTTCAAATTTTGTGGATTGCCACTACATAATCACTAAGAAAGAACTGTACCAAATATTAGAAACCACATCTTGAGGACGAGCAACAATTAAAATGGATAGCACAAAGAGAAAATAATGACATAATCAAGATGACATTCCAAACTACTTAAAACAAAATGTTAGGAAGAAAGCACTTATTTTCATGAAAAATTGTTTTAAGAGAAACATTTTATAAATTCCAACTACAAGTAGCACTATTTGCTTGGTCAATGAATATCGACTGTTTCCTAAGAAAACGGCTAATATTATCATTACCATGGTTGATGAGATAAAAACTCAAAAGAGAACGAAGATATTGTAAAGTTACCAAATGATTGAAACAAAAGTTTAGTAATTATCAAAAAGGTGAAAAGAAATGAGAGATAAAAAAAAATTAAAAACATTGGTAAATAAGACAAAGAAAGAAAGAAAAAAAAAATGGTTTCAAGAATGTCATAAAAAGAAATTTGTGAAAAATTAAAAAGGCAATAAACAAAAAAGTGGATTGACTAGCAAGAAAATATTTGAAGCTAGTGTTACAAATGTAAACAAAGAGAAAAGATGCAGAATAGTCAAACTAGCAGACTTAAGTAAACATAAAAAAGAAACCTGTTAAGTTGAGTGAAGAATTTCATGAAAACTGATTTTTCAACAGTAATTTCTAGTAATGAATGTAAAGATACATTGGATGGTCCTGATGGAATGGCAAAAGCTTAAATCATTTATGGAAAGAGTTGACTTAAAAGATAACAAGAAAGAGGAGGAGTAATGTTTTTGGCTATTTTCTTAAGCAGTAAGATTTCTTACAAAGTTTATGACAATTCAAGACATTTGCAGAGAATATTCTAAGTTCTTGGACATTTTTAAGTGGTAAATTTCATAACCTATCAGCCTGTAAATGATTTCAATTGTTAAATCCCTGAAGTCCTGACTGAATTATTGAAAAAGCTGAATATGTGATGTCTATGCAATTAAATTGATACATCTAAAAACACCCCACTGAAAATCAAGTTTTAGGAGTTAATTTTAAATGAAAGTAAAATGATTTCACTTTTAAATGATACCAAACTTAGCCTTCTTGGTATTACTAGTGATAAAATATGCTTCCGGAAATAGATTTCTAAAATCCAGATTTCTAAGGCCCCTCTAGTTTATCATGTGACAGGTGTTAACAATGTGTAATGACAGTAATACACGGTGCGATGAATAAATTGTCGTCTAAATTATGCAAAAATGAAAATAATACTGACACCTCATTTTAACACGTCATATTTACCAAAATTACACAAAGAGTAAATTTATTCAATAAGATCGCCATTGACTTCAACCACAGCCTACAGATGACTTTTGAATATCCTGCAACTCTTCTGGACTTGTTTAAATTGGTGGATACTGCCATAATCATTGCCTTCAGTTCATCAAGGAGTTTTGTTGGTCTCTTGCTCAACTGTGTCCCACACACAATAATCAAGGGAGTTGCAGTCTAGGGAATTAGTTGGCCAGATGTAAGGAGTGATATGGTCACAGAATTTTTCTGACAGTAATGACAGGGTTCTCCTGCTTGTGTGGCATGGAACAGTCCTGTTGTCAGACATAGGGCCTTCCAGCAGCCACCCTCTTGACCCAGGCTAGCCCTACCTCCTCAAAGCACTTGATGCAGAGCACCATCTTGAGTGAGGCCCTCACCAACAAATTTAGGAGTTCTTTCTTCATCAGAACAGATCAGGGTGAATTTTCTGAGCCATCATATCTGTGTAATCACCATTAGACTCATCTAACTCTTTCCAATTCCTCTGTACTGTCCTTAGATTGACACCCAAACACTCTGAAATGTTTGTATTGGAGCTTTTGGTGTGAATGTGAATTTCTGGCGGACCAAATTGTGTCATGGTGTTCTTTTTCTCACAGATGGTGCCAAATTGACCCTACTATACTATGCAGTTGACAAAATTAAAAACAAACGATGCTCATGCACAAACTTTAAAATATAAAATGGCGACAATTTATGCATCGCACCCGGTATATTTCTATTGCAGGCAAATTCGAGTGTGCCCAGATGGTAAACATTTTTATACTTGAAGATATATTTGGGCACTTTCTGGCCTTAAAGTGTTAAACCCAAGAGTATATTTATGCAAAGCACTACTCCTTTACAAAAATTATTATAGCCCACATTACCAAAAATGTTTCAAAGATACTAAATTAAAGAAATGACCTCCAACCTTTCATAATATATAAATTAATAAATAATTTAGGTAGGGGATACACTGTGTTAAGCAAATATGTTACGTTTTGATTTTTTTATAAATAAAAATTTTTTGTTACACTTTGTATAATAAAACCTATAGAATAATTGACCATGGTTAAGTGTAACTGACAAAATTTTTAACAAACAGAATTAACAAAGTTCTCAATAAGCAATGAGAAAAGGAAGAAAAAGAATAGGGCAAAATAATACCAAGCAAACAATATATATGCAAATCAAACTTAGGTGAAGCAATACTAAGGCAAAAAGTTCACAAAGTAAGAATTATGTTCACACACAAAAGGAATTATAGTGTTCTGACTTCAAGACAAGAAAGAAGAAAAATATAGTGGACAAGACTGAGAATGGGTCCATTTTTATTGGTTAGGAAGAAATTCCAGCCTGCATCTGAGAGATTTGTCTATAAATTTGGGAAGGAGATGTTCTTTGCAAT